AAGGAGTTACTACAATTCCCTTAAATATGTGGCCTGACCTCTTAGTATAACCTTTTTCATTATACATTTTTCCTTTTTTGTTACAACGATATGAAAAGCTGACTGAACAGACCTAATGTAGTTGTGATCAGTGTGAGCACATGTACTGTTGCAGCTAACGCTACCTGTGTGAGCAGAAACATCTCATCACCAAGCCCAAGTAGTAACATGTTGTTAAAATTCAGAAAAGGCTGACTTTAAGAACTTTCCGTAGTCAAATTACAATTATATTCCACCATTGTGGAGAGAAACATATTTTAATTAGCACAGGCCATCTCTGTAGCCTGGAAAATTGGGTACCATATGGCAACTCCAGGAATGCTTGTCCCCAGGGGCTGAGAGCTGTGAGCCAAGGAACGAGGTAGCCACATCTCTAACAGGCTCCCTATTAGGAGAGTGGGCCTAGGCACCCAAGGTCTGCTCATGCTCTGCTGCCAGCACTTTGCCTTTCTCTGATTTGGAAGGTTGTTGAAGACATGCATTTCTTGCTAGTAAATGTATTAGGAAGTGTCCTGGGAAGGAAAAAGTTGCAGCACAACTGCCTTCTTCCTTGCCTGGTAGTGAGTTAGCACAACATCTTGGCATAACCAAGACATCTGAAACACTGTGAGTTATATCATCTAGAGCACTTTTTTTTTTGAGACGGAGTTTCGCGCTTGTTACCCAGGCTGGAGTGCAATGGCGCGATCTCGGCTCACTGCAACCTCCGCCTCCTGGGTTCAGGCAATTCTCCTGCCTCAGCTTCCGGCGTAGCTGGGATTACAGGCACATGCCACCATGCCCAGCTAATTTTTTGTATATTTTTTTTTAGTAGAGATGGGGTTTCACCATCTTGACCAGGATGGTCTCGATCTCTTGACCTTGTGATCCACCCACCTCGGCCTCCCAATGTGCTGGGATTACAGGCTTGAGCCACCGCGCCCGGCCTCTAGAGCACTTTTTTGCAGTTAAGGCAACATACATTTTCAAATATAGCATTTTGACTACAAGGTACACTTAGAAATTGTCTACTCTGATTAGATATGGAAATGAAGACTGAAATAAGTCACTGATTTATCCAGTGTTATAGAGCCAAAATAAAATAAAGTGACCCAGCAGCTTCTTTGCCTACTGGCTTTTCCTTTTCACTATGCCAAACTGTCTCTTCTTCTCACATAATTTGAAAGATTAGTAGAAGTTGGCCATAAAACTTCATGATTATTTTCTGAAAATACATCAAGCCATGTGCTTGTGATATGTGTACTTTTTAATTTGTATATTATACTTCAGTAGAAGTTATCTTAAAAACTTCATGATTTATGAAATTTGACATCAGACTTACCAGCAGGGGCTCTTTATCAACACATTTGTAATAGTAATAAATGCTTGGCTCTTCAAGTTGAAGTGATTATAAAAAGATGGATTTCATTGCTGCTTATGTGTTATGTGCTAGCATATCAGATGTTTGAAAGTTTTTTCCTGAACACATTGTTGACAGTGTTCACTGTAGACTCCGCATGAAAATGCTTCAGATTGTGAATTTTGACAGCATCTGCTTAGGAGCCGCCTCCACCTGCATGGCTATCCACACCTACCTCCTTGATGGAACCCCAAGGAGGTCACCCCACAATTCTAGTTTCTCCCTCTCTGATGAAGAAGGCTTCAGAGCAATGCCTCTCACACAAACAGGGCTCCCTGCTCCTCCAAGCTTGCCTTTCTAGGGAAGGGGCAGTTCATATAGCAAACAGAATGACATACGCCTTGAATGTTGGCTCAAAGTGTGTAGGCAGATGTGTGGCCTTTCTTCAGCAACTAATGCCAGGGTACCCTGTCCAAGGTCTCCACATGGCCTTAGAGTAGTGACTATGTTCTCTTTGCTCTACTTCTTCCCTGCCAAATTCCAACTGATGCAGTCTTTAATAAAGATTAGGTCATGTTTACAAAATAGTCTGAGCTAAGGTTCCACTAAAGCCTTAGGAGATTGTTTTTTGGCTTTGAAATTTAATATTTTTTTTATAGTGAACTTATTAAAACTTCTGCTTTCTTCCATCATTTCCTGAAATGGCCCACAGGTTTTCTCTCTTGGTTCATTGCAGCTATAGCACTGGGTTTTCTTGGTGAAGGGCTTCTCTGTTTAATGGAGTCTACTCCTTAAAAAGCTCCATGGGTCACCTTTGTTCCACTTTGTCATATCAAGCATTGTAACTGCTATTCACTTTAATCCCCTTAGCCAGGATACATGGGGGCTATGGTCTTAAATTTTCTCCTAGTAATAAAGTTAGATATTACTAATTATGCCAGTGCATTCTGATTAATCAAAGCATCTAGAAGCAAAACAAAACAAACTAAACACTGGTGACATATAAATCTGACATTCTACATAAGATTGGAGAAGAAAAATAACCTATATGGCTCTCTAATTATTTACCATGTGCCTGGTATTTTCACAATAGATATCTTACCAGCTTCCTAGATAGAGGGGTGGGATGGATGGAGAAATGGAGGAAGGGGGAGAAAGGAAAGCAGGGAGTAAGGAAGTTTTCTTTCTAACTTCATTCTCCCATTGCCACTTCTATTATTTGTAGCACAGAGGAGCATTTATAAGGAAGGTGAAAGTTCATGAAGCACTTTTATGTACATTATTTCATTTGTTTCTTTTTATGGCATTTATCATCATTGTAATTAATTCAGTATTTGTTAATCCATGATGTTCTTTATTGTACCCATTAGGGTAGGAGCCACATCTATCCTGTTCATTTGAAATCTCCAGCCACTGGCACACTTTCTGGCCCAGCATAGGCTGGTAGGAATATCTCTTAAATCAATGCATGATGGGATTCAGTTCTCACAGCACCCTCATTTAGAGTGTCATCTCCCCACAGGAAGTTGTTCTGATCCCCCAATTACACTGGCACCTCATTCAAAAGCTCTCATTGCATCCTGTTCTTTATTTTGTAACTGGACACTTGTGGTTAGTTGTTCAGTCTTTCTTCCATTCTAAACTGTGAGGTCAGGAGGACTTGACTGGTGTGCAGTGTTTCATTGCTATCCCCCTACAGACTTAGGCACAGGTAAATGCCTTCCAGACAAGGGGGGTGGAAATGAGTATTTTACCCATCTGATAGACCCTAGGAAGCAAAAGGGCTGACTGGAATCACATCACTTGTGATGAAACATACTGGCACAAGAACTGTCTCTATCTACAAGCATGAGTTTCCTCATCTTAAAGAGGCTTAACTAAGTAGTTTCTAAGTTATCTTACAATTCTGATTTTTAAAGTGCCAAATAATTTAATTTAGAAGATTATTTTCTGTAGTCAACTTTAATTAAGTTTTGTTAGGGCCTGAAGCCAGGGGAAAGGCCTCGAGGATATCTTTTTGGGTAGAATTTGCCACCCAATGGAGAACCCCTATGTAGAAGAGCAGAAGGACGGCCAGGGTAGGTGTCCAGGATGGCAGGGTGGCCTTGGAGTAGATCCAGCCCGTGGGACACATTTGATGACCTCAGTTATCAGGAGCTTCTTTTCCATGCAAGGCTGTCTAGGGATCATTCAGTGTTGGACAGGTTGTGCTGAGGGATGAAAACAGGTTGGTTAATGAGTACATACATAGCGTTAGCTAGAAGAAATAAGTTCTAGTGTTTGATAGCACAGTAGAGTGACTATTATTTACAGAAATTTAGTGTGTATTTCAAAGTAGCTAAAAGAGAAATGAAATGCTCTGAACTCAAAGAACTGATAAATATTTGAGGTAATAAGAAGCATTCTAAATACCCTGATTTGATTATTGAGCCTTGTATGCATGTATCAAAATATTACACCTACCTCATCAAAATGTACATTTATTATGTATAAATAAAATCAATCATGTAAAAAAAAAAAAACGATGAGTAGTGGGAAGAGAGTCTCGGCTTAGCAACCTTAAGATACTTCCCGTCCAATTTCTGAGAATTTATCTTTCTTTAATTCTTATCAGAAACAAGCATGAAAGATGAAAAACTAGGACTACAATTTGTTTTTAGTTGGTATTTATGTAAATTTTGTATTTGTACCTGCAGATTAGTCATCAGTTTAGGCTTGGTTGTATATTTTTAGATGAGTGATTGTGATGAATCACAATACTTAAAAATTAGATTGGGAGGCCGAGGTGGGTGGATCACGAGGTCAAGAGATTGAGACCATCCTGGTCAACATGGTGAAACCCTGTCTCTACTAAAATACAGAAAATTAACTGGGCATGGTGGCACGTACCTGTAATCCCAGCTACTCAGGAGGCTGAGGCAGGAGAATTACCTGAACCCAGGAGGCAGAGGTTGCGGTGAGCCGAGATCGCACCATTGCACTCCAGCCTGGGGAACATGAGCAAAACTCTGTCTCAAAAAAATAAATAAATAAATTAGAAATCCACGTATACACCCTTCATAAAATAATAATTTACTCAGTAACACCAGGTACATTATATGTGATGCAAAAAGTTTTCCATTCAGGTTTGAAAGGTCAAAAGTTCATTTTTTTCTAAGACTTTCATTTTTAATACCGTAATTTGTTTTTTTTTTTTAAAAAAAAAACAACTGGAACACATTTGTCTTCATTGAATTCTGAATACACTACAAATACCCTTTGAGTCTTTGAGTCTACCTATGCTGTGTTTTTAGGCAGTGTCAGCATTTTAATCCTACCTATAAAACTTAAAACTTTTAATATAGATAAGCATGACTGAAATCAAACACATTGAAGTCATATGCCATTTTAAACCAAATATATTCTAGGAAATGCATATAATTTTTGTGAAAGTTCTGAAGAAGTAGTCAAGTCAAAATGAAGCAGATTTCTTTACTAAATCACCTTTTTATATATTATAAATCAAAATCAGTAGAAACTGTGTCAACTCTTTATATACATTGTTAATATTTATTCTTTATAATGTTTAATGTACACAGATATGACATAGATATTTTCTCTTTAATAGAAAAAGAATCCAAGCTCATTTAAAATTTGAGCTATGAAAACAATTTCTTAGTTTTTAAATTGACTTTTGGAACTTGAATTTGTAGAAGAAAATTTTCAAATTTTACATAGTTTAGTAGTATATACCTGATAGTCACGTTTAAAAAAGAGCTGTCTAGAAAAGTATATATGTTTTTCCTGTGACAGATTATTGTCGTGAACATTTCAAATGCAATAAAGGAACACCACACAAATTAACTTAAAAATTTTATTCAATATGTAATATGTATTCTGCAGAGAAACTAGTGACTTTGATTCAGTTTTGTTTTACTGCATTATAATTATGGACTTTGGGGTGTTTGCAATACTAGTTTTAATCAACATTGATTTAAAAAATATCTGGAGCCTGGGCAATGTAGTGAGATCTCAATCTCTGCAAAAAAGTTTTTAAAAAATTATCCAAATGTGGCAACTTGTGCCTATAGTCCCAGCTACTCAGGAGACTGAGGCAGGAGAATCACTTGAGCCAGGGAGTTTGAGGCTGTAGTGATATAATCATACTATTATAATTCAGTCTGAGTAAGAAGGCTGGATGCTTGCCTGCCTTCTGCCTCTTCCAGAACTCAGGACACTCTCATCCTGAGGTTTTGTGAACACTCTCTCCACCCACTTCCACAGGGTACATTTTCAAATGGCCCTTGAATCCTTGGCACATCTATGATTTGTGACCCAGTCACTCAAGTTTTGTAATGGACAATTGTGAAGGTGGGCACCTGAGGTATACCAGACTTTGAATATGGACTCAGGTAGGCTAACTTTTCAAATTGGGATTTCAGCAGTTCTGGTGATGTTTCAGAGAGTGCTCAATGCAAACCTACTGCTCCCTGGTCTGTGTGGTAAAGCCCAACTTTTTGGTCTGACAGTCTACATCCTGTGTCGCCTGCCCTGAATTCACTTTTCAGCCTTTTCACTCATGGTTCTCCACATGCCTTGTCGATGAAAACATCCTGATCCATGGACAGAGGGGCTTTTGTCTCTCAGACTTACACAGCACCTTACTACCGTCTCGTTCTACTGTGTGCTCTTCTTTCCTCTTGCAGTCTTTATCCCTCCGCTAGGCTTTGTTCTGGAGAACACGGGTTGCATGTGAGTTATCTATGTGCCTCTGTAGTGCCTACCAGGATTTGGACATAGTTCATCCTTAGTAAAGTTTGATGACTGAATGCTTGTGTCCTCTTGTATCCATCATCAACTATTGGTGGTAAGTTATCAGAACTGGCCTGACGTTTGTATGAAATGATACGTGGTTGGGGTACCAGATTTAGCAAGCAAAAATGGAGGGCACCCAGTAAAATTTGAATTTCAGATAAATAACAAATAAATTTTAGTGCAAGTGTGTCCCAAATGCTGCATATGAACATTTATTCTAAAAAATTATTCACTGTTTTTCTGAAGTTGAAATTTAATGGGCACATTGCATTTTATCTCCCCCCTTAGTTTGTGGCCTTGGCTGAAGTGACATATATGGGCTAATTCTGCTATCCAAAAATGTCACCCCACATTCTGACTATGTACTTTGGATTTATGGTCTTTGATTAAGATAAAGATAATCTTGGCAGAAGTCATGCCTGAAGCTTTTTGTTAGCAGATAACAACTTAACAAAAAATAGCCAGAATGGGGGGTGGAGGTGGGTGTCTGTCTTTATTAGCTCTCTAGTGAAGCTCTGCCCCACACTGAGCACAGTGCTAGTCTCGGGGAGAACGAGGTAGATAGTTCTTGTCTCACTTGAGGTGAGTGCACCTTCTAGGGCAGTAGTCTTTATTACAGAACTTTTTTCTTCAGACTGTCCCTTAAATACTGGCCAGATATGCAATCTGTCCAGGTCCCAAAGCTAGAGGAGGCAGAACCTGGACTCAAAGCAATATAACCATGCTCTCAACTCCACATTAAGCTCCATTTCCAGGATGCTGTCCTTGGCCTCTGCTATGGGCTGAATTTTGCCACCTACTCCCAACCAAAATTTTGATGTTGAAGTGCTAATCCCTAGTACCTCACAATGTGACCATATTTGGAGATAAGTTCTTTAAACAGGTGATTAATTAAAAATGGCCATTAGGGTGGGGACCTATCCTGTAGAATTGGTGTCCTCATGAGAAGAGGAAGAGACCCCAGGGTATGTGCACACTGAGGAAAGACCATGTGAGGACACAGGGAAAAGGCAGCCATCGGGCAGCCAATATGAGGCCTCAGGAGAAACCAAACCTGTGGCATCTTGATCTTGGATTTCTAGCCTCCAGAACTGTGAGGAAGTACATTTCTGTTGTTTCAGCCCCCAGTCTGTGGTACAGCAGGTACAGCAGCCCTAACTGACTAAGGCATCCTTCCCCTCCCTCATCTAGACCTCTTTTTGTTCACCTGCTGCTCCTCCTGAATCCCCCACCTTTGTTGATACGAGCCCCTTAAACATAGTTGTCCTTTCCCCAAACTAGGAAATCAGCCAAGAGTCCTGCCCTTCTCTTCCCTACAACCCCAACAGTAAGCCCTGTCCCTCCCAGAGACATCAGTCAAATCCTTGTCTCCCTGTTCATCCCTATTATATCACCTATGATTTGGAACACTGTTATCTTTACCTGGAAAAAGACTCCCAATCAGTGTTTGCAATGTAGATATTGGAGGGCAGTGGGTTTGTCAATCATACTTTGATGGCACAAAGTCTATACCACCATCTAAAAGATAGTCCTGCCCATTTATTCCTTTGTTCAAATTTCCTCACAATAAAATCTAACTTTGATACACTCATTGCAGAACACCAACACCTTCATGATCTGACTCTGCTCCCACCTCACATGGGTCCTGCCTCACATGGCCCTCACCTGACACTCCCTCTCCTCCCAGCACTGAGCCCCCTTCCCCACTGTCAGGTTCCCTGAGTTTGTCAGCTGCCTATACTTTCTTACATGCTGTCCTCCATTCTGAAATCGCCTCTTTCTTTGCCCATTTGCTCATTTGAGATCCAACCAGAGTTTGAGTCCTTAGTGTGAGGACTTTGTCCTTCCCTTTGATTATTCTCACCACTTAGTTTGCAATAAGTGCCTCAAGAATTTTGAGGAGTAAATAAAGGAATGTGTCCCAAAGGCTTTAGCTCAGTGCCTCTCTAAAGGCAGCAGTTTTGCCCCCAGGGAACATGTTCAGTGTCTGGAGACATATTTTAGGAGGAGTGCACATATCTGATGGGTCGAGGCCAAGGATGCTGCTAAACATCCTCCAATACACAGGACAACAATGAATGGTCCAAGTCAAAAGGCCAAGAGTGCCAAGTTTGAGAAACTCTGTCTTAGCTCTAGTCTTTACGTAAATCATCCTCAAGCCAAGCTCTCTGCTCCCTCAACTCTGCTTGTGCCTATATTGGACCTCTCAGGAAATTCCTCTTTTTCCTTTTCCATATCGTTTATTAGATTGTGCTCCTTGAGGTCAGGAACCATGAATCACTCAGTCCTGTATCTTCATTGTCTGCACTGTGGCTTAGTAAGTAATAGTTTAGTAGAAGAATGGATAGAGAAAGAAAGGAATGGCAGAAGAAGCTTATGGAATAGTTCACCTCTTTATGTTTTAAACTTAGGTCAGCTCTGGATCTATCTCTGTATCTTGTAGTTCTAGTTAGAAACAAGGAGAGGGGCCAAGAGGTGAGTATGTGCAAAACCTATCGGCCAGGATACTAGTTTCCAACAGATGCTACACAACTGGCATGCATGTTCATTTTTTTACTCATTTCTACTCAATAATGACCAGAGTTTATATAGAAGGTGGAAAGAATAATCATGTAAAGCACATTTGTACAATTAAAGATGCTGCAATTATGAAAATGTTCTTTATCAGTGCTATTCAATACCATAGCCCTGGCCACACATGGCTGTGGAGCACTTGAGTGTGGCCCATGCCCCTGAAGAGCTCAGTTTTTAATTTTATTCATATTAATTGTTATTATCTTACATGGCCATGTGTAGTCAATGGTTACCTTAATGGGCAATGCACAGCTGAAGTCTGTTTTCAGGCTGACCCTCTACACACCATAGTCTTGGGAGTATTTTATTAAACTTCCTATAGTTTATTTTGGCCAGAGGAAGATAACGCAAAGGTTTAAAAGAAAATACAGTGGAGAAATGGCCCATCTTTCCACGAAACCCTAAGGTTCTGAGTCACATCATAAGTAAATGGTGGAAGGAAGGCAGGTTTAGCTGGGCAGTCATCGGAAATCATGATGGCAAACCAGATACCACACCCTCTGGCACTCCCCAAACTCATTGCCCATGGGACCGAAGTTAGTCCAAGTGCCAACTCGTGCCACACCAATGCCTTGTAAGGACTCTTAAATCCTATCTGACCTTTGAACAGGTTCAGTGTGCTATGTTCAAATGGGAAGGAATACAAAATAATTCTAGAAGAGATCCAACCTGTTGATAAATTAAAGGTCCTAAAGAAGGGAAAAGAACATCTGTCTGGAATTTACTTTAAGGGGATGTGATTTTTGGGGGTAAGATTATCATTAGGTTATAAAGTAAAATCCTGTACCTCAACTGGTAAATATTTCCTAAATGCCTGTTGCTTGGATCTTAGTATCTATAGATACTGGGGGCATACTTAAGAGTACTTTTAGATGTAACCTCCAAATTCCATGGAGCTCAGTCTTTTATATGAAACATAATTTTTAAAAAATGATTGTTTTTATTACTATGTCACTTCTCTCTAATGCTTTTGACAAAATATCCTGTGATACTTGATTGATGTTTATTCCATTACTTGTTATCTAATTGTGGTATAACATCTCACTCTCTGTAATAAGACAGATTTAGGTGGAAATGAGATAAATGCATGTTCTCACTTTGACACTGTAAAGAAAGCCCTAAAAGAGCATTTAAGATATTTAATACCAATATTCCCTATTCTGTTAATGTTTTAATATTAAAATTAGGTTACTTAAGGAATGACTTTCCACGATTAATATATTAATACTGTCCTACTAAATACCCCTATAATATAAAATGTAATATAAATACCTATAACATGAAATATTAAGTATACTTGTAGTATAAAGACCCTTTTGCTTATAACTATACCATTCTTCTTCCATTGGAATTCCCCGTAGCTTTTCTCAGGGTGGCAGTAAGATCAGATTAGAAGTGTGAGTAAAATATTATTACAATCAATTAAAGCATTAGGCTCATAAATTGATCAATAATTTTTCAAGAACATCATAGGTCATGATTTCTTTTCATTTTGTTGAAGAAAAATGTGATAGCTAAGATGAAAAGACATGTTTATTTTTGTGTCAGGTATTCTGTGATTAGTTAATTAAATATTTTCATCAGTTCCAGTGACCTCTTGTCTCTCAGCTGCATATTGACTTTCCCAACTGTGCCTTCCATCCTTCTGGCTGCAGTAAGAGAAACCAGATTTTCCTCAGCCACCTCCAGGATCTTTCTTATCTAACGCAGGAGAGCCTTCTGCCAGGGGGATTGGCAAAGAATAAACCCAAAGGTCTCCATTTTTGTAAAAAGGTTCATGGCAGGTCAGTTATATTTCAGTATATTTTTAAAAGGCGTGGTTGAGCTAATTTAATTTATTCTGTTCATTAATTTCTCTTTTTTCACCTCCACCCCCTCTGAATAAACGGCCTTCACATGAGTCCAGTATAGCTTCAATACACCTTATTCACATGCCTTTTATTGCAGCCGCATTCCAGCCAGCTGGAGGTGGCCCGACTGCCTCAGCTTTCCCGTTTTAGCTCTGGAAATGATTTCAGCATGGCAAAAACTTTTCACTGGCCAATTTGGAAAACAGGATTCAATTTGTGAAGAAAGCTCAAAATGGCAACTTAGAATGAAAAAGAGGATGGAGAAGGTTGAAGCAGGGAAAGAGCCACAGGGTGCAGTGGCTCACACCTGTAATACCAGCACATTGGAAGGCTGAATCAGGTAGATCACCTGACATCAGGAGTTTGAGACCAGCCTGGCCAACATGGTGAAACCCTGTCTCTATTAAAAATACAAAAATTAGCTGGGCAGGATGGCAGGCGCCTGTAATCTCAGCTACTCAGGATGCTGAGGCAAGAGATTTGCTTGAACCAGGGAGGCAGCAGTGAGCTGAGATTGTGCCACTGCACTCCAGCTTGGGCGAAGGACCAAGACTCCATCTCAAAAAAAAAAAAGCTTAATTAAAAGTGGATTTATGGTGGGCTTTGGTAACAGATTTGTTACCAAAATGCACTACAGACAGGCAGATTCCAGATTCCCAAGGCTGATTGATTTCAAGTCTAGGGAGGACATATTTCTAGGTAAAAGTTGTATGTGTCTTACAGCTTTCTCTTTGGATATATATTTGAGTCTCCCCCAAGAGAAAAGCAATGTCATATTTAAGTATGAACTTACTTTAATGATAGGTGCTACTTATATCTCTACTATGTTGTTTCTGTTATATGTGATTTTTGTATCATTTATAGTTTTTTTCTTAAGAGAACACTGAATTTTCAATAATTTCAAAAGCCTGTGACACCTTCAGAAGTTAAGCATGGATCCTAACAATGTATATGCTTAGCCGTATCATTAAGGCATAACTACTGAATGTTTACAGTCCATGGGATTTGTGGAATTCTGTGGCCTCCTTGACCATTTCAGCATCTGGAAGAGGTGTTAATGTTGTCATCTGACCTCAGCCCTGGATCCTCATCTGTCTTCTAGCCCAGTGATTCTCAAACTTCTAGTGTGCATAGGAATGACCTGGTAATCTTGTTAAAACACTGATCTTGATCTCCACTCCCAGAGTTCTCATTTAGTTGGTCTGAGTGGGATCCATGAATTTGCTTTTTTAACAAGTTCCCTGGAGATACTGATGCTGCTACTCTTGCTCCCACATTTTTAGAATGCCTGTCCTAGTGGTTCATCCTCATCTTGACCCAACACTAAGAAAGTGGTAACCAAGTTTTAAAAATTAGCCTCTCTGGTTAAATTGGGAAATCAAATAAATACTAAGTGACAGTTTATTTTAAATAACTTGAAAATTTTCTTATCCACCAGAATTGCCCCTAACAGTTTCCCAAATTAGCATAATCGATTCTAGAAGTTCAGGGATAATTTGGAATATGAATGGGCTGGGCCTTTGTACTGACAAAGCCATTCGCAGCACCAGTTTGTTTAATATCCCAGGACATTAAACTCCTCTGCTTTGGCTATTAGAGGAATAGTAGGTTGGATCTGTGACAGCACAGTATGCCCATTTAGATATAAATTTATTTCTCAATCCTTCTGAAGACAGCAGTAGTGAGGATTTGATTTGATATAATGACACTGAAAATAGAGAGGAAAGGATGAGTGAAAACAACGTGTGTAAATGGAAACCATGTGGTTTAACTGATACCTGTGGGTAAGAGGCACAGGAAAGGAAAGAATCAAAGGTGACTGTACATATCAGGTAAGGAGAATAGATGGCAATACCATTAAAAGTGAGGAGTTGGCTTTGTGAAAGAAAGTAAGGTTGATTTTTTAAAAATATAAGCCCATACATTTGTAACTGGTTGATTTTCAGCAAGGGCACCAAGACAAATCAGTGGGGAAAGAACATCACAAAAATAAACTCAAAATGGATCCTAGCTGGAAATGTAAAATTGCTAAAATTGCTAAAAATGCTAAAATTGAGGCATCAACTGTTCACATTGACATAGCTGGGGTAAAAAATGATAACACTTTCTTTTTGAAAACACAATTGAACCTAAATCTACCCTGTTAAATTGGCGTCTGTTATTTTTAAGTAATTCATATGAAGTGTTAAAAGCTTAATTAAAAGTGGAATTTATTGTGGGCTTTGGTAAAAGGTATGTTATAGGCAGATTCCAGATTTCCAAGGCTGATTGATTGAAAACACAGGTGAGAGATACTCTTCCTGAACTTTAGTTAGGCATAGCTTTCTTAGATATAACACCTAAAACACCAGCAACAAAAGAAAAAAATAGATAAAATAGACTCCATCAAAGTTAAAGACTGTTTTCATAGGATACCATCAGAAAAGTGAAAAAGCAACCTACCAAATGGGAGAGAACATTTGCAAGTCATATATCTGATGAGGGGCCAGTATCCAAAATAGATAAAGAACTCTTATAACTCAAGAATTAGAAGACAAATAACCTAATTGAAAATAGGCAAAGGACTTGAATAGACATTTCTCCAAAGAAAACATTCAGCTGACACAAAAGGATATGAATGTGAAAAGATGTACAGCATTATTAGTCATTAAGGAAATGCCACTCACAACCACAGGGAAAGACTACTTCACACCCGCTGGCCTGGCTGTAATAAAAAAAGACCATAACAAGTATTGGTGAGGGTATGGAGAAATTGGAACTCTCATACATTGATAATGTAAGACCACTTAGCCACTTTGTAAAGCAGTTAGACCATTTCTCAGGGTTCAGTATAGGCACATATTTAAGAGAAATGAAAACATGTCCACATGAAAACTTATACAGGAATCTTAGTAGCACCATTATTCACCATAGCCAAACAGTGGAACTTTTGGTGGAGTAATGTCCATTAATTTATAAATGGATAAATAAAGTGTGATTCATCAAACTGTGTCATATTATTCAACCATAAAAAGGAGGTACTAATGGATGCTCCAACATGGATGAACCTGGAAAACATTATGCTAAGTCAAAGAAGATAGACCCAAAAGGCAGCATATTATATGATTCCATTTATATGAAATGTCCAGAATATGGAAATCCATAGACACTGAAAGTACCTGGTAGTTGCCACGGGCTAGGTACCAGAAGTGGGGAATGTCTGCTAATGGGTCCAAAGTTTCTTTTTGGGTAATGAAGTATTCTAAACTTAGGTTGTGGTAATGGTTGCGTAACTCCCTGAGCATACTAAAATCAACTTAGTTGTATGTGAATTATATATCAATGAAGATTTTTTATAGTAGTAAAAAATCTTAAGAAACCAAGAATAAATGCCAAGGTAAAGTCCAGTGGATGTTTGGAACTTGGGAGACAGGTCTGTGCCAGAGGGAAATGTGAAGCTCCTTGCATAGAAGAATAGGTGTGCCATGGAAGTGAATCAGGTGTCCAGGGAGAATATGGAGGGAGAGCATAAAGTTGTTGGAATACCGAACCTGGGAGCACAGCTCTTTTTTTAAGGACCCAGAAGAAGTTAGGAGAATGATCTGAGATAAGGAAGAAACCAGGATGGCACAGACTAATGAAAGTGAAGGAAGAGAGACAGGTTTACAGAATAGGCAGTCACAAAGGGAAATGTCATGGAAGGACCCAACATGCCACTGAGTTTGATGTTTGGGAGTTAGTTGTTTTTCCATATAGATGCAGTGCAGGTGGAAGCCACATAAAAAGTTTTAATCAGTGAATGGAAGATGAATGAAGGCTTAAGGAAAGAAGCATATCAGCCCTCTCTTTTTGCAGGTTCTGCATCCATGGATTCTACAGTACAAAATAACAATACAGCAAAAAACAAAAAAAAATTTTTAAATACCATGTGCAGTGGTTCACACCTATAATCCCAGCCCTCCTTTGGGAGGCCAAGGTGGGAGTGCCCAAGGCCATGGGAGCTCATCTCTTGCGTCAGTGTGACCTGGATGGGAGACATGGAGTCAAAGGAGATTATTTTGGAACTTTAAGGTTTAATGACTGCCCAGCTGGATTTCAGACTTGCATGGGTCCTGTAGCCCCTTTGTTTTGGCCAATTTCTCCCATTAATGGGAACATTTACCCACTACCTGTACTCTCATTGTATCTTGGCAGTAACTAACTTGCTTTTGATTTTACAGGCTCCTACCTAGGTGGAAGAGACTTGCCTTGTCTCTTATGAGACTTTGGACTTGGACTTTTGGGTTAATGCTAGAATGAATTAAGACTTTGGGGTACTGTTGGGAAGGCATGATTGATTTTGAAATGTAAAAGGGACATGAGATTTGGGAGGGGCCAGTGGAAGAATGACATGGTTAGGCTTATGTCCTCACCCAAATCTCATCTTGAATTATAATCCCCATAATCCCTATGTACCAGGGAGAGACCAGGTGGAGATAGTTGGATCATGGGGGTGGTTTTCCCCATGGTGTTCTTGTGATAGTGAGTTCTCATGAGATCTGATGGTTTTATAAGTGTTTGGTCATTCCTACAGCATTCTCCTTCCTGCCGCCTTCTGAAGAAGGTGTCTTGTTTCCCTTTCACCTTCCACCATGATTGCAAGTTTCCTGAGGCCTCCCCAGCATTGCTGAACTGTGACTCGATTAAACCTCTTTCCTTTATAAATTACCCAGTCTCAGTAATTATAGCAGTGTGAAAATGTACTAATGTGGGAAGATAGCTTGAGCCCAGGAGTTTGAGACCAGCCTGGGCAACACAGCAAGACCCCCATTTCTTAAAAAAAAAAAAAAGCCCAGAATGGTGGCACATGTCTGTAGTCCCAGCTACTTGGCAGGCTGAGGTGAGAGGCTCATTTTAGCCCAGGCAGTCAGAAAGGCTGCGGACAGCCATGATTGTACCATTGCACTCCAGGCTAGGCCACAGAGCCTCTGTCTCAAAAGAAAAACAACAAAAAACTAAAAACTGAAAATAAGTGCAACTATTTACAAAATATCTACATTGTATTATGTATTTTGAGTCATCTAGAGATGATTTAAAGTATATAGGAGAATACATGTAGGTTATATGCAAATACTCTGCCACTTGACATAAGGGACTTGAGCATTCTTAGATTTTTATATCTCCAGGAGATCCTGGAACCAATCCTCTGTAAAGACTGAGGGACACCTGTACGGAGTAGTTCTTAAGGAATTTGGGAGGAAAAAGAAAGAATAACTTGCTGACGGTTGAAGAAAGGTTTTGTTCTTGCTAATGCCAATGACATTGTTTAGAAGGGCAAATCTTAAGATTTAAAGGCAGAAGGAAAGGAACCAGTAGAGAATGATAATTGATAGATAATGAAGGCATAGCAGAAGAAAATTCATAACGGAATGAAACTCTGGATCCAGGTATTATAAACATGTGGTGCCTCATTCTCACCCTCACAGCGCCTTCTTCCTGTTTTGGAGGTAGCTGAACATTATAGTGTAAATTTGGGTTTTTACTTAATGAAAAATATACCTAGAAACACTGATAACTTGTAATTTTGTAAAGTGTTTCCAAATCTGTGGCCTTCTAACACCTGGAGTATTTGTAAGATGCCCTCAGAGTACCCTGAGCTCAGAATCCAGCACTGCCTCTTACCAGCTTTGGCAAAATTTTGTAAACCTCTCCAAGTATGTGTTGTCATCTCTAAAATGGTAATGATACCCACCTTCAAGGTTTTTGTTAAGATTATCGAAAAGGTATTCTTGAATAATATATATAGCTGCTAAATGGCAAAGAACAGGGCCCTACAGTAGACTTTTCTGGGTTTGAATCCAAGGCAAGTTGCTTACTCTCTCTGCATGTCTGTTGTGCATGTGCATGTCTGCACATCTGTGAAGTGGATCTGATAAAAGTACTTATGTGGTGGTGTGAATAAATGAAATACATCTGTGTAAGTGCAGAGCCTGGCACATCTGTAAGTTTGCTCAGCCACTGAAAGAAGTAGCAGCAGCAGTTGCTGCCACTTTTACTACTACTCAGAATTAAAATGCTAAATGCAAATAAGAAAAAAAAATCTGCAATTGTTAATGAGCTCTAACCAATAAGAATGAGCTCAGCTAATTTAATTATTTTTCGAATTAAAGCCTGGAGCTGCTGGGATAAAGTTTAATATTGCTAAAAGAGTCAAATCTAATCCTTGTTATGATAACCAGACATTATCACTTCTGACATGGAAACTTCAGTGTTTATTCCTGAGTCACTGGTGTTGATAAATCTAATAAGATAAATACTGTTTTTGTTCTTGATTTTAAAAAATCAGTATAATTGATTAAAATGAAATAAGTAAAGTGGTCATTGTTCCTTACAGAACTGCTGAGTAAGGTGTACTAACTGTCTATTTTTTATTGAGAATGATGTTAGTAATTCTAATAGTCTATTTTTTATTGAGAATGCTATTAATAAAGTAACTTAGATTTATAGGCCTCTGTAAATGAAATGTCTTAATAATATAAAATCTACTTGCCTTCACAACAACAGGGTCTCTGATTTATGCTTTATTTCTATCTATGATATGTGATGTTTTTTGATTTATCACAGAATAATATTTGTGCCATTTCTGATCGTTATCATTTTTTATTGATATTTAGTTGTTACAGTAAAATTCCAACAGAATTACACAACTGAGAAAGAATGATTTGATAGGTTCTAAAAGTATATACCCTAATGGATTTCTAATGGAGATTGAACTTGATGGCAGTATGCTAAGTTCTTGAAGTTGGAAATTAATGTTCTATTTTAAGGGGACATTCTTGGCATTGCTTTTACCTTTTGGGAGGAGGGGAGGAGGAAAATCATAACTTCTTCTTTTCTCAGACAAATGACCAAGTAGGAAATTTTTTATGAAATACAGAAACATTCAGATTGAACAGCATGCTGTGATTCCCGGCTCAGTTACTTTACTTTACCCTGCCCTTCACATTTCTACAGACAGCAGTAATCAGAGCGGTCTGGGAACCACTTTGTCTGTGTCCCTGCGGCCTAGTGAGTTCAGAAAACTCCTTTGTTTTGAGTTGTAGAACAAGAGGAAAGGGTAGAATTGGCCCCTCTGCATGCAGCTGGATGCATCATGGTATCCCAGGCCAGCCTGCCACTGCAGTAGTTTAAACAAGGTTGTGGTCTTCACTCTCCATACCAGAGAAGGAGTGATGTCCCATAGAGAATAGCAAGTAGATGGTAACATCAGACACTTAAACGTGGGAAGTGGGCAGCCCACAGACTCACAACGTGGACTCTGCCCTCTGATACCTAGGGAACTTCGGAGACCAAGGAACAGTCACAACATTGCCACGTCATTTTCCATCGTGATATTCATGAACGAAAGCGTACTGTCTTAACACTATGAAAACACTCTTCATTCTTCTGACTCTGTAGTCTCCAGCTAATGTCAGTTTAGATATATCTCTCCCATGGTTTCTCCTACTCTTCCTTGGTATAACAAAGTGAAATAAAGTTCAGATTAAACATTTCACTTCTTTACTGGGATTTGCAGCACATTAATTTGATATATGATAAAGATAAACAAGCAGAACCAGAGAGTGAGGGGGAGAATCCACTTATTCTAAGATAGCTTTTCTATTTCAACTTCAAAATGAGAAATAATTATATTTATCTCTGTAACATGGAGATAACTAGGCTGTAAATTAATTTCCATCCAGGCTTTTCTAATAAATTACACAGTTTTACTCTTTTCCAGAATCAGAAGTCCAAAATGGCATCTCTGGGTCAAGTGCTCTAAGCCTTCTGACCTTATTTCTCTATAACAAGGGCTTTATCCCCTTAAATTCATAAATTACTTAAAACATCCTTTTAACATCTCAGAGGAGAGGTGCCGGATTGCTTAAATATATCCTGTTTTATCAGAGTGCTGCATTCATTTTTCACTCAGTTCAATGTAGTTTCTTCCTTTAGTTAAATCAGCATTTCAAAATTTAACATTGAGTTAGGGAGTGTATAGATAAATGATAGAACTTTGTGACTGAAATAGATAAATCTTGGGCCACTGCCAGTAGATAAATAATGTACATTCGAGCATTTTAGAAGTGATCAGCTATGAGGTCGAGCAGCTCAGGGCACCGTAGCCTAATGTACTTTTTAATGAGTAAATCATTGCTAACTGGTGTGTTCATAATTTAACTCCTTTTTAAATATATTGCCCATGGGTTATGCCCCTAAAAAGCAAGTGAGGTACCCTAAGGGCCAGAAGGGGACTCAGAACATTTATAAATGAGCATGACACTAATGTGAACCAATGGATTATTTGCATTCCACTGCTTCAGTTATCACTTAATGGCTGCAGGCTCTGATGGCAGGCTTGTGGACTGTGTTATGTTAGCCTCAAAAATAAATGCTAATATCTGTGAAGTTTTCACATTCCCCACCATATTTGGTCAATTGTACAAGCTTCGCCCCTTAAGAGCTGCCAAGAGTCTTGTTGGCAAAAATGCCACTTTGGTGAAGACATAACTGACCACCAGTCCTATTTGTAGACTTTCCCTGGTTGACACTACATCATTTCCTCCTCTTAGAACTCTGGGATTTGTGCTTTTTATTGAGTGTGATCATTTGAGTTAAATATAAATTGCCCTCTTATATCATGTTTTCCTTTGTTGGCAGTGTTTTGGTCTTTAGATAATTCTCCCAAGGGAAGTTCTCAACTGTATAAGCTTAATGAATGGTTGTATTGATCTGCTTTTCACATAGATATTTGATTGGGTACTTGGGACCATTTGGTAGAAAAAGTAAGATATATAGTGTGGAAGGAAATGACTGAGTAGTTCAGGTTCCTATATGTGGTTTACTTCATGGCTTCTTTTCCTTAAATAGTGGCTCTCACTCTAATCGTAATTACGGTAAATCAAAACCTTTACTAGTTGAAAATTGTATAATAAATATTATGCAGGTGGCCATTTTCTATCCATCTATTCTAAATGAACTAGGATTAAAACTAGATAGTAAATTTTCTAATGATTGGGAAATATTTAGTTTTGATTAAATAAATATGTAATAATGTGAGCTTATGCCCTTTATTTGATTAACATTGAAACAAAGTATATGGGTCAAAATTCCTTTTTGGTGTATTTAAATTAATGTTAAAATTTGTATATTCATGTTTTAGTGATAATGCTTTTTTATTGCTTTGCTCAGTATACAAAATAATTTGTACATTTTTAAGTAGGAGGAAATACCTCTCGTTAGGTACTAGGGGAGCTGACCTGTAGTGCTGTATCTGCTCCTTGAATATGTATGTGTGTGAAAATTGAAGACTTACCTAAATTTTTTTCAGCCAAACAGGGTTTTAGAGTGAGCTCATATATCTGAGAGTACTTGTAGCTTTTAAAATCTAAGATTTTATAATATATGTGGAAAGTTCTTTTTATTATTCAAATTGTCTTTAAGGTATTAAATTTGTTTAATTTTTTATTACCAACTTTAAAAAATCCATTAATCAATGCATAAAAAAGATCAATGGACAATTGTGATTTCCATAAAATTATTATTATTTTTTTTTGAGACAGAATCTTGCTCTGTCATCTGGCTGGAATATAATGGTGCTATCTCAGCTCACTGCAATCTCCACCTTATGGGTTCAAGTGATTCTCCTGCCTCAGCCTCCCGAGTAGCTGGGACTACAGATGAGCGCCATAACCACCCAGCTAATTTTTGTATTTTTATAGAGATGGGGTTTCACCTTGTGGGCCAGAATGGTCTTGATTTGTTGACCTCATGATCTACCCACCTCAGCCTTCCAAATTGCTATGATTGCCACTATACCTGGCCCATAAAATTATATATTTAAAGAAATAGAGTCCTACATATATATTTATTTTTAATGTCACAAACTGTGTATATGCAAAAAGAGTAATCCTGTTCTCTAGGAAATGGCTCATGCAAGTACTGCCAGTGTAGCTACCATGCTAATTAGAATAAATACACGGTTTATTCCAATCCCCACAACAATCTCTCATGATAGATATTTGTTTTGTTTTACCAATGGAAAAATCTGGAAGTAAGCCTAAAAGGTATAAAGACCAGGGAATTCTGAACTTGAATAACCCATGAGTTTTCTATTATGTTGCCTTATCCTTAAAAATCCATTAGATAATGACCTCAAGGGAATATGACATACAATTTAAATATCCTGTCTGTGGCTACATTAGTTCTTAATAAATAATCAGCAGTAATAATTGTGTTTGGATCCTCTTGCTCACTGACCCTTTGCTAGATACTGCTTACAGTGTTGAGCTTCTTAAGATTGGGTTTTAGAATTCTTTTTTCTCCCTATATAAAGTCCTTCATTTAATTATTCCTCACTCCTTTCTTTTTAATTGATTCTGTGTCATGATCACTCTAATTGCAAAATATGGAATCTTATGATTAACTTGTCATACTATTCTAAGAGCACCTCTGATTACACTTTGGTTTATTTCATTCTAGCCATTTATTCATATTTGAGTGTATACAGATGTACTTATGTACACACATATGCATATCCTTATTTATGCTCAACTAAACTGGGAATTTTAACCAATATTTGCATTTTGAAGCAATATTATATCTCCATTTTAAAAAGCCAATTAAATACCTCTTTGATGCAATACACTGAGAGTGCTGTACATCAGTTTTCTCTGCCTCCAGCTCTGAGAGACCAAGGGCCATGAAGAATTCTCAGACCCCTGATGCCTGCTAAATATGCTTAATTTAGACAGCATAAACTGTATGTTCCCATTTGAAAATACTACACCACGTTTTTAAGCCCATAGCTTCCTTAGTTGATTTAGAAAAGAAGTTCTAAAAATAAAATACTCAGCATAAATAAACCTACTTATATGTGTATCTTTTAAAAATCACTTATATTATCTTTTGTGGACCAAGAATTGGTGACATAGGACCTTATCTTGGAAAAAGCTCTGTAATTTTTACTGTAGCTTTCAGGACTTTGAATCTTACTGCCGTCTGTGGTTCTGGAAGGTTTTGTCTGCCTCTTTCTACTGGTAATTCTCACCAGATCTCTCGCTGACTGTTGGTCATCTTGCCAAATCTTGAGTGATGTCTTTTGCTTCATCCCGCTGTGCATCTTGCAGGAAAGCAGATGCTGTTGGTCATTTGAGTAATCTGAATCCTGTTATTTCCAGTAAAGTCAGTTGGATTTCTGGGATGAGAATTGGAGCAGTCCTGTTGAAAAACTGGAATGAGAGATGAGAAGTTTGCTGAAAACAGAACATTTTTGTGTGTGTGGATTGATTTGCCTCATATACCAATTTTGTACTTCAGTCACATCTTTGCTGTTTAAAATAGAACACATTATTTACTCAGATTCAATTATTTTGACTACATTAGTAATGTCATTACAAGGCTATGTGACAGATTTATAGTGACATGCTGTAGGCACTTCAAAATCTCTTAAACCTGTATTCAGCCTCTTTTTTCCTAGAAACTAAGTGATCTCAATTTTCAGTTTTTCATTCTCTGTAATCTTCTAACAATTTTGTTTTTCAGAGGGGGGCGGGGGTCTTGGTAAGTTAGATTTCTCAAGACAAGGACTTGGCTACAAATGGGTTAAAATATAGTGTGAAATATAGTTTCTCCTGTTTTGTTTTATATGCTTATTTATTTCATGTTCTCAATATATATTTCAAGTTCATTTTCTGAATCAGTTCTATTTCTTCAGGAAAAGGCTGCTTTTCTAATTGTGTTTGGTCATGTTTTAAAAATGTATTTATTTTACTTTAGGTGCATACTTTATCTGGCATTTCTCCCCATGTTATCCCTCCCCACCCCCTGCTGTCTCTTTCCTACCCCCCGAACTGCCCCCAGTGTGTGATGCTCCTCTCCCTGAGTCCACATGTTCTCGTTGTTCAATACCCACCTATAAGTGAGAACATAAGGTATTTGGCTTTCTGCTCTTGTATCAGTTTGCTGAGAATGATGGTTTCCAGATTCATCCAAATCTCTACAAAGGACATGAACTCCTTGTTTTTTTCTGACTGCATAGTATTCCATGGTGTATATGTACCACATTTTCTTTGTCCAATCTATCATTGTTGGGCATTTGGGTTGGTTCCAGGTCTTTGCTATTGTATGCAGGGCTGCAATGAACATACACATGCATGTGTCTTTATAGTAGAACAATTGATAGTTCTTTGAGTATATACCCAGTAATGGGATTGCTGGGTCAAATGTAATTTCTATTTCTAGAACCTTGAGAAGTCACCACACTGTCTTCCACAATGGTTGAACTAATTTACACTCCCACGAGCTGTGTAAAAGTGTTCCTATTTCTCCATAACCTCTCCAGCATCCATTGTCTCCAGATTTTTTAATGATCGCCATTCTAACTGGCTTGAGATGATATCTCAGTGTGGTTTTGATTTGCATTTCTCTAATGACCAGTGATGATGAGCATTTTTTCATATGTTTGTTGGCCTCTTGTATGTCTTCTTTTGAAAAGCATCTGTTCGTATCCTTTGCCCACTTTTGAATGGGGTTGTTTCTTTTTTTCTTGTAAATCTGTTTTAGTTCTTTGTAGATTCTGGATATCAGCCCTTTGTCAGATGGGTAGATTGCAAAAATTTTTTCCCACCCTGTTGGTTGCCGATTCGCTCTAATGATGTTTCTTTTGCTGTGCAGAATCTCTGGGATTTAATTAGATCCCATTTGTCTATCTTGGCTTTTGTTGCCATTGCTTTTTGTATTTGAGTCATGAAGTTCTTGCCTATGCCTATGTCCTGGATAGTTTTGCCTACATTTTCTTGTAGTGTTTTTATGGTGTTAGGTTTTATGTTTAAATCTTTGATCCATCTGGAGTTAATTTTAGTGTAAGGTGACAGGTAGGGGTCCAGTTTCTGCTTTCTGCACATTGCTAGCCAGTTTTCCTAACAGTATTTATTAAACATGGAGTCCTTTCCCCATTACTTTTCTTTGTCAGGTTTGTCAAAGATCAGATGGTTGTAGATGTGTGATGTTACTTCTGGGGCCTCTGTTCTGTTCCATTGGTCTATATCTCTGTTTTGGTACCAGTACCATGCTGTTTTGATTACTGTAGCCTTGTAATATAGTTTGAAGTCCAGCAGTGTGATGCCTCCGGCTTTGTTCTTTTTTGCTTAGGATTGTCTTGGCTATGTGGGGTCTTTTATGATTCCATATGAAGTTTAAAGTGGTTTTTTCCAGTTCTGTGAAGAAGGTCATTGGTAGCTTGATGGGGATAGTGTTGAATCTATAGATTACTTTGGGCAGCATGGCCATTTTCACAATATTGATTCTTCCTAACCATGAGCATGGAATATTTCAACATCTGTTTGTGTCCTCTCTTATTTTGTTGAGCAGTGGTTTGTAGTTCTCCTTGAAGAGGTTCTTTACATCTTTTGTTAGTTGTATTCCTAGGGATTTTATTCTTTTTGTAGCAATTGCGAATGGAAGTTTGCTCTTAATTTGGCTCTCTGTTTGTCTGTTATTGGTATATAGGAATGCTTGTGATTTCTGCACATTGATTTTGTATCCTGAGACGTTGCTGAAGTTGCTTATCAGTTTGAGAAGATTTTGGGCTGAGATGATGGGGTCTTCTAGATATACAATCATGTCATCTGCAAATAGAGACAGTTTGACTTCCTCCTTTTCTGATTGAATACCCTTTATTTCTTTTTCTTGCCTGATTGCTGTAGCTAGAACTTTCAATACTATGTTGAATAGGAGTGGTGAGAGAGGGCATCTTTGTCTAGTGCCTGATTTGAAAGGGAATTCTTCCATCTTTTGCCCATTCAGTATGATATTGGCTGTAGGCTTGTCATATATAGCTTTTATCATTTTATGATATGTTCCATCAATACCTAGTTTATTGAGAGTTTTTAGCATGAATGGCTGTTGAATTTTATCAAAGGCCTTCTCTGCATCCATTGAAATAATTATGTGGTTTTTGTCTTTGGTTCTGTTTATGTGATGGATTACTTTTATGGATTTGCATATGTTGAACCAGCCTTGCATCCCCAGGATGAAGCCTACTTGGTCATGATGGATAAGCTTCTTGATGTGCTGTTGCAATCTGTTTGCCAGTATTTTATTGAAGATTTTTGCATCAATGTTCATCATGGATATTGGCCTGAAGCTTTCTTTTTTAGTTGAATCTCTGCCTAGTTTTGGTATCAGGATGATGTTGGTCTCATAAAATGAGTTAGGGAGGATTCCCTCCTTTTGTATTGCTTCGTACAGTTTCAGAAGGAATGGAACCAGCTCCTCTTTGTACTTCTGGTAGAATTCGTCTGTGAACCCGTTATCTATGCCCTCACTTCCCTCCTTCCTGTTTTTAAATTAATAGTTGAATATCTTCTTTACTAATGACAGAAAAATATCTTTTCCTAACATTTCCTCTTTTTTCATCTCAGAAGTGCATTGCTGGAATCATCTTACTTTTGGTACGTATTTTCAAGATACTAGGATTTTCTTATTTTGTTTCTTTATCCTGTATTTCTACTTTAATATTTAATCAACAACTCATATCCTTCTTCCTAGTTAAATTTTTCTGCTAAGTACCTGTCTCTATCAGTAGTGATACATAATTTCAGTGATTACCTGAATACAGGTGGAGAGATTTTAATAGGTAGGTAGGGTTTTGTTTGACATTTCCAACTCGATACGGGCATTGTTTCTGCTGCTGAAGTTATCTTTGTTTCTGAAGACTTTTGAAGTATACTAACAGAGGTTAGTTAGAATTGGGAAACTATTAGGATCAACTATATTGCCTTCTGCCTTCACACAGAAGGGTAGCATATAAGTGTACACTTGCTGGTTACCCTGGTAGAAATAACCAACTCTAGCAGCTGTTTGGATGTTAACCACAATTGCTAAGTACCAAAGCAGTACACTTAGAGTGTTAGGTAAAGCAAGAGTAATAAGCAATGCTGAATTAAACAAGTGTAGTAAGCCCCCAACATAGCTCACTTACATTTTTAAAAATTTATTTGAAGCCAGGCATGGTGGTGTGCGCCTGTAATCCCAGCTACTCTGGAGGCTGAGGCAGGAGAATTTATTGAACCTGGTATGCAGAGGTTGCAGTGAGCTGAGACCATGCCATTGTACTCCCGCCTGGGCAACAGAGCGAGACTCTGTCTAAAAAAAAAAATTTCCTTTGTTGTTGTTTTAGAGACAAAATCTTGCTTTGTCACCCACTTGCTGGAGTTTAGTGGCAGGATCATGAATCCATTCACCCTCAAATGCCTGGGTCAAGAAGTCCTCCCACCTCAGCCTTCTGAGTAACTGAGACAACAGGTGTGCACCACCACACCTGATTATTTTTTTTTTATTTTTGGGGGAAATGAGGTCTTGTTCATTGTTCAGGCTGATCTTAAACTCCTGGCTTCAAGCAGTCCTCCCACCTCACCCTCTTAAAGTGATGGGATTACAGGTGTGAGCTACTATACCCAGCCTAAAAAATTTTTATAATAGTAAAATATGTAACATTTCATTCCTCTTTTTTTTTTTTATTTTCACTGTAAGTCTTTCTACTTCTGTAATATAAACTCTATTTAAGAAATATTCATGCCAGGTGTGGTGGCTCACACCTGTAATCTAGCACTTTGGGAGGCCGAGGTGGGCGGATCACAAGGTCAGGAGTTCGAGACCAGCCTGGTCAATATGGTGAAACCCTATTTCTACTAAAAATATAAAAATTCACCAGGCATGGTGGCTCATGCCTGTAATCCCAGCTACTCGGGAGGGTGAGGCAGGATAATTACTTGAACCCAGGAGGTGGAGGTTGCAGTGAGCCGAGACCGTGCCACTGTACTCCAGCCTGGGCGACAGGGTGAGACTCTCAAAAAAAAAAAGAAAAGAAATATTCATCATCATTTATCATTATTCAATCTTCTCCCATATCAACTCAAATCTACATTGCATAATAAAATCAGTTTATTGTCTCTTATTATCTTTGTCACGTTGTCTTCACATCTTGTATGTAAGACAAGATCAGGTTTTCTTGAATTGGTATAGGTAGTGCCTCTTACACCATTAAATACAGTGTCAGAGTTCAAAGATGTTGTCATCCTAGAAAGGCTGTATTACTAGTGCCTATAGTAACTTTCCATCTCTCAGAACATTCTCTGAGATCTCATACACAATATTGAGATCAGATCTCACTATATGTGAAGACAGATTTTAGAGATGCTTTAGAAATACAGCAGATGTCTGGCAAGAGTCAGTGGATTATTCTGTTAACAAGATTACCATCCAGTACTACAGATTTCAGTACTGCTTAAATACAGAGGAGTAAAAATCAGAGAAAATCTATTGTGAAATGCACTTCTTTATATTATCTCAATATTCTTTTTTAAAAAAAACCTTTGGTAACATAATAAGAAATAAGAATAGGTTTCTGTCTTCAAGAAATACTTAGCTTTTAGAGATGCTTTAGAAATACAATAGATGTCTGATTTGGTTTATCTGGCAAGAGTCAGTGGATTATTCCCTTAGCATGATTATCATCCAGTACTACAGATTTCAGTGCTGCTTAAACACAGAGTAGTAAAAATCAGAGAAAATCTATAGTGAAAACCACTTCTCTGTATTATCTCAATATTCTTTTTTTTTTTTTTAAACCTTTGGTAGCATAAGAAATGAGAATAGATTTCTGTTTTCAAGAAATATTTAGTTTTTAACTTAACATAAAAATCCCTATATTGGCTTGTAATTATGTTTTATTTAATATAAAAGTGCCCATATTGGCTCATTGGCCCGTATTGGCTCTGAAGTCACTTAAAGTTTACTCTCCTAGCAAGCTTGTCTCCTTAGAATCTTCAACCTATTCAAGGGTGCATTTATTTCAAAGGTTTCTAAGAATGCTGATAAATTCCACCACCTTTCTTAGTAACCTATTTAATGTTTTTTCTTCTTCCTCCTCACTTATTTGTAAATATTTTGCTGTATTTTATACCCAATTTTAATTTTTACCTAATTTTAATTTTGTTTAAATAGAAAATACCAGTTAATTAATTTCTTTTCCATGCCTATAATGAAATTTTTGAAATAATTCTTGAATTCTTCTTTTTTTTTTTTGAGATGGAGTTTCGCTCTTGTTACCCAGGCTGGAGTGCAATGGCACGATCTTGGCTCACTGCAACCTCCGCCTCCTGGGTTCAGGCAATTCTCCTGCCTCAGCCTCCTGAGTAGCTGGGATTACAGGCACGCACCACCATGCCCAGCTAATTTTTTGTATCTTTAGTAGAGACGAGGTTTCACCATGTTGACCAGGATGGTCTCGATCTCTTGACCTCGTGACCCACCCGCCTCGGCCTACCAAAATGCTGGAATTACAGGTGTGAGCCACCGCACCCGGCCCGAATTCTTCTTTTTAATCTTTTTCTTTACTGCAACTTTTTGTAATCATTTATTTAGCAACTATTTAAAAACTACCAGCCATTTGGTGAAACTATTGTTTCACGTGGGGGATGGATAACATGATGAATACAACAGAGCCTCTGCCCTCACAGGGCTCTCTGTGTAACAAAGAAGCATGCTCACAGAAATCAAATATAATCACTGGTGGTGAGCATGATGATAGCTCAGGGCCCAGGTATATTTAGAAAAGACTGGGGCTGTTTCAAAACCTGCTTTCTATCATTGACTCTTTTGAGTATATATCTGCTGGGAAAATCTTCACCCTTTGAGAGTCTTTTAAATGATATTCTGAAGTGTTGTTTTCTGTATATCCAATCACTTACTGTACTAGATTCTGTAGAAAATACATTCTATTCATTTCTATATCATGTTTATATTTACTTATAATTAATATTTTTAGGTATTAAATAATTGCTGTTGGGTTTTCACATGTACATTTGCATTTTGCATCTCACACTTCTGTAAATATTACTTTCCTTTTTCTTACAAGCAGATTTCCACATGGCCGACAGAAATGTTTGCATATACCCCACAGGAATGAATGTCACATGTCTATGTCTGTGCAGTTCAGGGCAAATCTATAGAGCCAGGACTTCCCCTTCTGTTGTCTACATTTCTGAGGCTTAGCATCTCATAGAATCCTTTAGAAAACCCATCATATTAAAAACAGGAGGATCTCTTGGAAGAATAATTTCACATCGATTGTTTTGCCTCAGTGACTTAAGGACTTCTTAAAAGAATGATATTTCTACATATAGTTATATATTACATCTGCTGATAGCAAGGATGTAGCCAATCAAATGGCTAGAAGGGTTGAGAGTGCATAGGTGTGGCTAGCCTCTAAATCTTAAAAGTTTGCTCCAACTAGGAAAATATTTTGCTTTTAGATCATATAATTTGTATAATTTTACTTTCTAAATGAAACATCTCTCCAAAAATGTGAAAATTCCACTGACCCCACATCCTGGGATGTACATATTTAAGATCCCTCATGCCAGGTGGCCAGAGAAACAATGCAGCTGCCAACCTTTTCATTCTTTTAATTTCTCTCGGTATATTACAAATAGCCTACATTGGACCTGCTTTTTTTTTTTTTTTAAGTTTTTGAGATGGGGGTCTTACTCTGTCATCCAGGGTAGAGTGCAATGGTACAGTCATAGCCCACTGTAGCCTCAAATTCCTGGGCTCAAGTAATCCTCCCACCTCAACCTCCTGAGTAGCTGGGACTAAAGGCATACACCACCACACCGGGCTAAGTTTTATTTTTTGTAGACATAGGATCTTGCTGTGTTGCCCAGGTTGGTCTCAAACTCCCTTCCTCAAGTGATCCTCCCACCTTGGCTTCCCAGAGTCCTGAGATTACAGGGGTGAGCCACCGTGCTCAGCTGGATGTATCTTCATTGTACATTTTTCCCCTCCAAAATGTACTTTTTAATAGAGAGATATCTAAGGTCTAAAGAGGAAAATGGGAGATTTGACAGAAGAAGGTGCACCTTCAATCCTTCCCTTTATTTGACTCCTTTTATATTTTCCATCAAGGGTTCAACTGAATATCTGGGAATCAATAGCACACTGAGACTTCTGTGCCTCTGGCTGTTAGATGGAAGAAATGTTACGTGAATTCATTCCCTTCCATCACTAGCTGGGAGGTGATGGTCAGCCCCGGCAGGCAGATTTCTAAGGCGACACTGAAGAGAGAAGGAAGTCTTTGCCTGCTGTCCATCAGCATGTCAGAGACCAGAGCCAGAACTTCTGAGAGGACCACAGTTCCAAAACAAAGTAGACCCAAGATGTCAAGTCACACTGGTATTTCAGCCCTAACTGTTCTCAGGGCATTTTTCTAATAGCGTGGTCACTTTATCCTGGTTTGTCCACTGTAGGAAGGAGTAAAGATGATCAAAGAACCTCTTTACAGAGAAGAGTTAATTGTCTTTTTTACTAGAAATCAAAAAAGAAGGAAAGCATTTGATTTTATGGTATATTCCAAATAAAAGTTTGTCAGACTAACAAACAGAAATGTCCCACACCTAGCATTTATATTGTATTTATATTTATATTGAGTTTCCAGAAGGCTTTCCTATGAATAACCTCCTTCATCAGTTCTCATAATAGCACAAGTTAGTGTTGTTATCACTGTTTGAAGTGAGGAAGATAAAGAGCTCAGAAGTTTAGGAATTGTCCAAGAGCCAGACATGAACCCTATTCTGCCTACTCCAACCTCCTCTCTTTCCTACCAGCCTAACAGCATAGCCTCCTGACAATCTGGGCATAAGTTTAGTTCTTTAACAAACCGCCACATTTATTTTCAGAACCTAGTTATTATATCATAAAGATTACATCCTTAGGTTAAAGAAGTGTAAAACAATAAATTATCTCTTTTGTGTTTCACTTCAAACGCCTTTTTTCTCATTAGCTTCAGCTCCTGTGCATATCAGAAAACACCATTAGAAGGTGTCCTTCACTGTATAATACAATTTTTTTTTTCTCTTGAGATGGAGTTTTGCTCTTGTCACCCAGGCTGGAGTGCGATAAAAGGATCTCAGCTCTCTGCAACCTCCAACTCCCAGGTTCAAGCAATTCTCCTGCCATAGCCTCCCTAGTAGCTAGGATTACAGGTGCCCGCCCACCATGCCCAGCTAATTTTTCATAACAAAATTTTTAAAAGTGAAGATACAGTAGAAGACTGCATCATTTATGCTCACTTTTTTTTTTTTTTTTTGAGATGGAGTTTTGCTCTTGTTGCCCAGGCTGGAGTGTGATGGCGCAATCTCGGTTCACTGCAACCTCCACCATCTGGGTTCATCCTCCAGAGTAGCTGGGATTACAGGCATGTGCCACTACACACACATAGCTAATTTTGTATTTTTAGTACAGACTGGGGTTCTCTGTGTTGGTCAGACTGGTCTCGAACTCCCAACCTCAGGTGATTTGCCCACTTCAGCCTCTCAAAATGGGATTACAGGTGTGAGTCACCATGCCTAGCTATGCTCACATATTTTTAAATACCTGATTAACAATGTGCTATTATTATTTTAAGCAAATTTTTTTGGCATAATATTTGACAGTAGAAATTGTGAAAATATTTGGCAGCAGGATAAAAACCCATTGAAACCGTCTTGACATATAATATAGTGACTTTAAGAATAGTGATACGAATCTTAAAATCCTACAATTTCTTAAGATTTGAATCTACAAATATAATTCTAGTGTTTAAACATTTTGAGACAGTAATATAGAGTGCTATGGGTTTTATTTGTGTGTGTAGGGGGGTTAGCTACAATTTTTCTATATCTTGTGGCACTTATATACATTTAAAAGTTTTAAAAATTCTAACCTTCAGAGATTGTGTTGGTACATATCTTTCCAGTCTGTGTATATGTGTAAATTGAAAAAAATACTTCAATATAAAATGTATTTGATTAAATCAGAATTACTTAAATATGTGAATATCTCAAATCAGAGATATTCAAATATCATAAACATCAAAATTGAGGTTCTCTTAATTTTAATTTATTAATGTCAAAGGGCTTGTTTGAATAGAACTTTATTGGCTATTATTTTTTATTTTGAATTTTAAATACCCAAGAATAGGTAACCCAAATAGAGGATAGTCCCATGTTTTCCAAATGAGAAGAAACAAAAAAATATTCTAAGCCAAATTCAGTTTAAATTTTTTTAGAATCTGGGCCAGGCTCGTTGGCTCATGCCTGTAATGTCAGCACTTTGGGAGGCTGAGGCAGGCAGATCACCTGAGGTCGGGAGTTTGAGACCAGCCTAACCAACATGGAGAAAGCCTGTCTCTACTAAAAATGCAAAATTATCCAGGCATGGTGATGCATGCCTGTAATCCCAGCTACTTGGGAGGCTGAGGCAGGAGAATTGCTTAAACCCAGGAGGCGAAGGTTGTGGTGAGCTGATATTGCACCATTGCACTCCAGCCTGGGCAACAAGAGCGAAACTTCATGGCAAAAAAAAAAAAAGAATTGTGGACAAAATGGTCAAGTAACTGTAAATGTTTAATTTACTGAATAGCTACATAGCTACACACATTTGTAAAATAACATTAAAATATTTCCAAACATTGGGAAATATTTTTACTTCTCATATTTTGAAAAACAATTTTATTCAGTATCCTTTAACACATCCTTGACATCAATGTTCTTATTACTATAAGACACTTTGTGGTCATCTGTTTTCTAGAGCACATTTTCACTGAGGGCTTTCAAATTCATTGCTGGTGCTGCCACAGGGCATTCCATCCCAAGCGGAGTCTTTACTGCATATAAGAGAATGTTTGCTATTTCATTCAGGACATTAATATGTATATTATATATATGTATTTTATATATACACGTATATGTGAATATTGTCATGCTTCTCCTAGCTTCCTAATATATTGCTTTTTTAAAGAGTTACTGACATAAAACTCTTACAAGATCATACCCACAATAATGACAGACATTTTTATCTCTTGTTTTCAAGGGATTCTCTTGTGTGACCCTTGAAGCATGGAAAGTAGGATTAATACATGTTATTTCAGACTAATATGTTCTCTCTCTATCACTCCAACATAGTACTTAGTTCTTCAAAGTAATATATGGAGAAACTGCCCCATAATATATGGGATTTTGATAGCACTTGAGTATAAAGGGACTCTCTTTTTACTAAGGAGTATATGGGAGGAAGAATTGAAAGTTTAAACCACAACTTAAATGTTCACCTCTCCACCATTTTTTCTATACTATCTTTTGATTTTCACATTTCTTTCATTAAACTTTTTATATAATTAAAATAAACTTGAAACTCCATCAAGCCACAGTGAAAAACTAAAAGTGAAGTCAAGAACAGAGCGACTCCTAGCACCGAGGCCAAGTGTGTGTGGAGTCCCTGTGGGGTGGCGCACCTCCAAGTGGGTCGTCTCTGGAGGCCAGTGCCCTGCTTGAGACAGTGGTCACCCTTCCTCCCCTTGGTCCGTCTGCGTCCTGCAAGCTCTAATTACACCATGGCCCTAATACAGCTGTGGCCCTTGGGGAATACAGAAACACAATCGACTGATTGTTTCATGTGAATAAAGTGAGTGTGTGCTATAAGAGGATTTGATGGTTCTGGTGGGTTTCTGGTACTTTGGTAGAGGTTGGCACTTGTCTTTTCTTAGTAAATTGTGGCCCCATCTAAACAAGGTAGGGTGTCATGTTTTCCTGCTGTCAGCAGCTTCTCCTCTTGATTAAGCTTGTCTTTCACCAAGCTGGCATTACTAAAGTACTTGAAATCACAAATAAAGAGGTAGTATCTTTACTGCTTAAAATTTAAGTGCACTGATGTGGTATTTGGGTCTCTCGGCTTTTTACATAGTAAAATCTTCAATTTCCTCTCTTTTTCAGTTCTTCAGGCTTAGTGCTAGTTTCTTCAGTGCTGCCTCAGTATTGTGGACAATAATAAAATTACCAAGCATGTCAGCTGGCATTTCATTTCTCAGTATCTAAGCTTGTTGTGTGCCCTGTTTCCAGGGAAAAAGTGGCCCCAATATAGGCATCCTTCTGGGAAATTGTTGCTTAAAATTCCATTCCCTTATTGCACAGTTTAGTTGTGGCATTGCACTCTTCCAAAGGTGGGGCAGGATGGTTGGCGATGGAATTAAGGATGTGGATGTGGATCCAGCCCAAGTGAAAATTTCCTTAAGGAAAAGTGGGAGGAGGTCAAAAGCAAAACACCCTCTAACAGGCAGCAATGTTGCAATGAATAATACTAATCTTTAGGACTGGTATAGGTAACTCTTCATCTTCAATGCATTTTGCTAACATTTAGTTTGTTTACTCTACCAACAGCCCTGTTGGGAGATAAGTTTTTATTATAATAGCTTTACGTTGCCTTTAAAGAACTGAGACAGAATTTGAGGAGGCTATTTACTGAGTGCCACCTAGGTTATCCCCCACTGTCTAGGTGTCTCTATCTTTCCTGTGAAACAATTCACGCAGACCGATGAAAGAGTGGGAATTTCAGCGGTTCCCAGGAAGCTGTGTGATACAAGAATCTATTGCCACTTGTTGCTCTCAAAAAGTACCATCCCTTCTGCTCCTGTGGCTCTGTGGCTGCTTACAACAGCAAAGCGCAGAGACTGAAAACTTGTAAACAGCTGTCGGGGGCTGGGGGTGGGCAAAGTGTAACAGAATAGGCTGCCAAATTCCTGACTGCCATATGTGCTGTGTAATACTTGTCATCTCAAGTGAGTCATTAAAAGGTTTCCCCTTAATGGGGCTTTGAAGTGCTGGGACAGCTTGAGCGCATCTATAAATTGCCACAAACAGCCCTCTGACTGAGTTAGCTAATTGCTTGCTCTTTGACTTATTAGGATCAACTGAGTTAAATAATTTGTCACATGTGTGGCTCGTAATAAATAATGTGACCAGCCAGTTTGTGGTCTGTTTCAGTGATATATTGTACCCCTTTTGGATGTTGTCACATGTAGCTAGCAAATGTGGGCTATTTTATCCATAGGACTATCATATCCCTGAGTTCTGACAGAGCAATTGGGGAAAAAAATGTTAAAAGGAGTCTAGTTACAAACAAATGTGTTCACTTCTTCAACCTTTCCATAAAGCGTAAATATCATTTTTCTTTGATATCACACATCATGCAAGCCATAGGCAAAAGAATATAAATTATAAGTACTGAATTATTCTAGTTAATATGGACTGAATTATTACAGTTAAAATATTATCTGTTCCCTTTGTGAAAACAAGCAGTCCCTGCTAGCCAGCCCAGTGGATGTGCTCAGCCCAGCTCAGCCCAGCTCAGCTCAGCACTGCATTCCAGCCAGTGTTTGTGCTGTGGGCTGTGCCAAGGGCATTGTTGTCTACTGCCAGAAGACAGAGAGGGTGACAACTGGGATAGAGAGGACCATGGATGAGAAGAGATTAATTTAAAAGAGAGAATCTGAGAAGGTAATTTTCCAGTCATAGGGAAGGGAGGATGCTTTGCTAGCCAGCAGTTAGAATTAAGTGCTTCTCTTCCTAGTAAATAATCAGTTGACTATAGGTGCTCATAGCATCATACAGAAAGAGGATGGTGCCAGCACATCTGGGTGGGCTGGCTTTGATAGCACTATCTTTTTCCTCATTCAGAAAAGAAAAACGAAAAGAAGGCAAGTAACTTGCCATGTTGGTAACGTGGACTGTGCTCTTGTAGAAAGTGTTATTACGTGAGTAATAGGAAAAGAATTGAGCCATTTGTAACTGTTTTTAAAAAGTCCTTACAAGAACACATCATAATTGGCTCTTTATTATTAGCAACAGCATCTTAGAACAGCAGCTTTGTCATACTTAGCATGGAACAAGTATCAAGTGTGTTTAGAACAAGGATCATTGTGTTTTTCTATTATAAAATTGGTAGATGAACCCTTTTATATTTCATGAAAAAAGGTAATTTCTATAAGAAAGAAGGATAGAAAAAATCCAGTTTACCAAAGGTTTCTTTCAACTCCTCATTTCAGGGAACATCATTTATTGTTAAAGTACTCAATTAAAATAATAATGGCCTTCACTAATATTCTTATGGCAATTTTTAAAATTAAAGTATTACATTCTCTGTACATGTCACTTCAGAATTAATGTTCTTTCGCTATTTTCTCTAATGACCTCTTTTTATTTCTTTGAATGTACTTACTTAGGTTTTTAATATATCTCCATGCTTGCACATTATCACTGAGACAACAGGCAATAAAAATGCCAGAAAGTCTCAAACAGTGAGGCTGAGAAGTCACAAACAGGTCCCAGCTGGAGAGTCCCCAACTTGTTCTCCCCTCCCCTTTCTGGCCAGCCTCTTTTAACCCTTGGTACTTGTTAACTTTCCTTGCGGATGGATGTTCAGAGTAATTAGACAGTGGTTTAAGTGTGTGTGTGTGTGTGTGTGTGTGTGTGTGTGTGTGTGTGTGCTAGGGGATAGTGATATGGATGGGTGGATGCAGTTTGGAAAGGAGAGACATTTCTCTCCAATTAGTGGAAGCCACCCAAACCGTGATCTGTTTCATATGCAAAATAGAAAATGTCTGCAGCAGACCCAGACATCTATCCAGCATTTGGAACTGGTGACATTATTAGTTCCATGGGCCCTGATTGTGTTTATTTTTGTTTACATAAGTTAATTAGTTGGCCTTAAAAAAAATGTATAATTTCTGCCTTCTGAAAAATAAAACTTTACCTGATTAACATGGCTTAATTTAACTAATAAATAGTGTGTGTTTTGCATTTGTTTTGAATATTATTTCTAAGTGACTTCTTAAACTTCACAGGTGTGTCTTGGGTGTAATGAAAATAATTATTCTATTAAAAAGGGTATGTATAAGGAAGAGTGTATTTAAAGATATTTATCTCAAGATAACTGGCACTGAACTAAATAGTTCCTTCCCTTAAAAGACAAAATGTGCTGAGACTGTACTCACACAGCCAATCTGAGGCATCCTAAATCACAAGCAAATATGATTATTTGGCTTGGACTGTTTTGCACATATTTGTATATGTGTGTGTAGGTGTTTGTGGGGCTGGGTCGGGGAGAAAGAAATTGAGATTGTGGCTTGGTTGACACAGGTATATATCATGCTTCTAAGGTTTGGGCATATCTTCATTGCTAAAAGTGCAAGCTGGATGAAGTGCTCATCCTTAGTTCTTCTGGAAGAGCTCATGGAATGGATGTCCTAGTTTCTTACTCAGTGTACATAGCTGTCACCACCAAGTGCACTTCTCTGTACAAACCTGCCATACTGATGATGGGATGTCATCCAGCACTGAGGAGCAAGGAGAGGTGGAAAGAGGAAAATTTAAAAAGTGGCCACTGAATTAAAGCCTCAACTCAAATGCCAGAGACATCAGCCTGAAGATGCCAGTCCTGTGTGGCCCTTATCCTGGCAGGGTCTTCCTCTCTGCCCAGGAAAGCAGGCCCCAGGTACAACCTGTGAGAAGACAGCCACCACCTGCTTGGGGAGAATGGACAGCAGACAGTTGTGGTCAGAACTGTCTCGCCTACCCTGCAGCAGAAGGACCCTCCAGGACATGCCCCCTTCTATCCAGGGTGTGTGGAAATGTCCCAAGAAATTAGTCTCCCTGCTTTTGTAACCATAGCACATCCAGAAGGAGGAGTTGGGAATCCCCAGGGGCAAGACACCTCCTGTCCTTAGTGGGTCCTCCACAGAGTGTGAAGGGGAATCACCCACTAAATGTTCCTTTTCTGCATGGTGGTCCCAAACACTGGGTTCTGTGCTGATTTCTTTTTATTTTTTGATATTAAAAGTTTCTTTCTGCCTATAAGTATTTCTGCTGCTTACTTTCTTCCCTTGCTGAGAAGCAGAAGTAAAATAGTCTCAGGTTTTTCCTTGTTTCTAACCATTGTCAGAAACGGCCTGAATATCTAAAGGCTGTGAGTCTCACACAGATCAACAGTTCCAAATACCTAAATACCAGACATTCACCAGGAGCAAGACCTTGACAACCCTTCAGCTCCTGCCACAAGTGAGTCTGAAATAATTGCTGTTGAAAGAATGACCCCATGCCACCCTCTTCTTTGTTGTCTAAACCCTCAGTCGGCCTTAAATTAGATTGCCGTAGAGAAACATACCTGAGCCACAGATGGATCAGCTTCTCCTCTCATTGTGCCCTTGCTGTGACTTACACCTTCGATTTTTATTTAGGAACTCTGTTTAAAAAAGAGGAACAAGGAAAGCAAAAATCTGTGACTTTGAAAACCTTCCCACTTGTGTTAATCAGTATCCATATATGAGATCTTAGGTACCTAGCGCCAGAGAAAAGCATTCCTGAAAGAACTAGTATTTTTCTTTTTTTTTTTTTTGAGGTGGAATTTCGCTCTTGTTTCCCAGGCTGGAGTGCAATGGCACGATCCCGGCTCACCACAACCTCCGCCTCCTGGGTTCAGGCAATTCTCCTGCCTCAGCCTCCTGAGTAGCTGGGATTACAGGCATGCGCCACTGTGCCCAGCTAATTTTTCTGTATTTTTAGTAGAGATGGGGTTTCACCATGTTGACCAGGATGGTCTTGATCTCTTGACCTCGTGATCCACCCGCCTCGGCCTCCCAAAGTGCTGGGATTACAGGCGTGAGCCACCGCGCCCGGCCTGTATTTTTCTTTTATATAAGCTTCATGAACTGTCTCACCCAGCAGGGCCTTTTCTTGCTTCGGTTGCTTCATCTTCTCAGAGAGTGAAAAGATGGTGCTCAGAAGCTTGAACCACCTTACGCAAAGCCCTGGTGCATTTACTTGTGGTCATGGATGGTTTCAGATCCCTATTTTAATATTTCTCTTGCACTTTATTATTTCAGTTGTAGGTGTTCCCATTGTAAGAATATTATCTTGGCTGGGCGTGGTGGCTCACGCCTATAATCCCAGCACTTTGGGAGGCCAAGGCAGGTGGATCACAAGGTCAGGAGATCGAGACCATCCTGGTCAACAAGGTGAAACCCCATCTCTACTAAAAATACAAAAATTAGCTGGGCATGGTGGCGCGTGCCTGTAGTCCCAGCTACTTGGGAGGCTGAGGCAGGAGAATTGCCTGAACCCAGGAGGTGGAGGTTGCAGTGAGCTGAGATCATGCCATTGCATTCCAGTCTGGGTAACAACAGCGAAACTCCATCTCAAAAAAAAAAAAAGAATATTATCTTAAATTGTTTTTAGAAGGAGAGTGGATATAAATTATGAGTAATTAATTAAAATGAATATTTTAAACTTACAATATTCATAGTATTTTTCTGATTTCAAATAATATAAAAATACTGCTTTATAAGATTCTAAGTTATAGAGCTACTTTATCTGGATAACGAGCCTCTGAATTCACAACCATACATAATGCATTCTGCACATTCTGGAGGTACTCATTTATTTGTAACCTTTGAAGCACATTATACTGGGAAGAGCCCTACACCTGAGTTCAGAGATTTAGGAATGAATTCTAACATTGCCACTTTGATACCTTTGAGATAAAATTTTTCATCTGTAAAATTATTAAAACTCAATGCTAAAAATTATTAAATAATGTAGACATGTCTATCTCAGTGCTCTGCAAAATGACTCTCAATTTCCTTCCATCCATTTTTGCTCCCCGGATGCGAGGCAATTCTGTGATGAGGGGTCTAGGAAACTGAGTGCATTCAATCCGGAACACTGCGGTCTTCCTTGGTTCATCCATGTATGTATTTACCCCATATTTACTGGTGAATAAACGTATTGGGTAAACATAATGGCAGAACAGCTGTTGAGAAGGAAAGTTAACATTTAGGAGCCTCCCTTCCTAGACCATCTTTTGGGGGAAGCACCCATCCACAGACACAAGGGACACCTACAAATAACACATCCTGCCTTCTGTTACCAGTATTCCTGAATGTGTATTTTCTTTATCATTTTACCTCTCAGATAATTTTAACTTCTGTTCTGATTTGTTTTCTCAGATTTTTCTTTTGATTTACTGACTTATTAAACATCTTAGTCATGCTTATGAATAATTCACAATTACCTAATTAATAGAGGGAAATTTTCTCTTCTCTCCCTATCCTCTAAGATATGTGTCCACTTATTTCTAGAGAGCTCTGTGACAGGAGCTTCTCCTTCAATGCTTAGGCAATGTCCAGGGTTCCGGTTTTTGGCCAGGTAGGTGTCAGTAAGCTGGTGAATGTTAGAATGAAGATGTTCTGGTAGTCTGTGTCCACCATGTGGTAAAACCAAATAAATGAATTCTAGATTTGTACAAATTGCTTCTGTCTATATTTGCCTGCACATTCTATTACATCTGTCAGACTGACTTTATCTTACCAATCAATACATTTTTAAACAAGCGCCTAATTGCTTGTATTGCCATGTACTAGTATAAATAAAATACGTCTTGGTTAATGTGTCACAATGGAAAAAAAAACTCTTTTTAGAAAATGTTTGAAGAGATTTATTTAATTACTCTTAAAATTACTCCTTAGTTGGCTCTATTAGCATGTCATATAAGAAAATGCAATATGTGAACATTTTAACTTTTAATATGGTCACAGTTTAAAACTTTTCTGAGTTCAAAGTAATTTTTGCCTATATTAAAGAATTCACCAGAATTAATATTATCAGAATGGAATACAATAAGTCTTTGTAAATTATTGTAAGTGAATTGGGAAATGCAGCTGACTATATACGTGCAGTTTGTCAGGAGCATTTTTTTTTACATAAAATGAAATACAACACTGGCTATTTTCACTTTTTAAAAATTGCTGTTAATTTAAAAGTTAACAAAACAATCAGTTATAAACTAAGGAATATATTGTTGCTGTCATCCAGTGAGCATGGTGTGTGTTAGATGATTTTCCTTCCTGAGCAGGACATGAGCAAGCATACTGTCCATGCTGTATGTGTTGACCATGGGGATTCAGGGGTGCCCGGGGCACTGTGTGGCATGTGTACTCCCACAGGTTCAGCAGCCTCTGCTCACCTCGCAGGCCCTCTTTCTTCTGTTTTCTGGGACGTTGATGCTGTAGTGTGGCCCAGAGCTCTTAACCAAACACAATTCTTGCATTACCTTTTTGAAATTTAAAAATAAAACTTTTATATTGTAACTACTACATGTATAAAAGCTTAAATACTTTCTTTTTCTTGGAAAATAGCAAGTTTAGTTGTTGAACTTCAGGAAGCAATTCAGAGTGGCCCACTGAACTGGCTGCTGGTCAGGAGTAAACTGAGACCTGCCCTTTAATAAATAGAAAACCAAATGATTAGCAGCAGAATTAGCTCATACTCACCACTAACTACCTGCTCTCTGTATGGCACTCAGTAGCTCCAACCACTTAACATTTTTAAGCCTTTTTCCCCCTCTGTAATGTAAACTTTGTGAAGCTCAGGCCTTTTAAAAATGTATACCCTTTGCTAAGTAAGCTTGATACAATAAAATCTTTGTTCTCTGCAGCATTGCAGATTCATATATGTATATACACACATGCACTGTCTAATATTTATCTGGTCTGGAATAAGCATTAATCTTTAATTACTATATAAACATTTTAAACAGGTGTGGAATAACTGCACTCTCAAAAATGCAGTGTTTATCTCCTTGCTGCCTGATGGCATCAGCCCCACTGCCTGACAGCTTTCACCTCCCTGTGCTTGAGGTGGAAACGGAGAGGCAGTGGGTAAAGGGCAAAGAAATGCCCCAAATCCCACATGAATCAGAAATTTCCAGTTATAAATTATGCACCACCATAACATCCTTTACCACAGTTTGCCAGCCAGGAATTGAGTTCGGGGTAGTGTTTTTCTGTGTTGGTATGGTGTGGGGCTGGGGGCTGTATATATAGCCATGCGTTTTTTTTCTTCCTGTGGATTGTACGCCCTCAGCCGTCTTTTCTTGGGGCTGTGCACGGAGCCTGTGGTGTGAGGAGATATAAAGCAGCATTTTTCTAACTGCCTTTGGAAACAATGAGGGCTCTGTTAACAGGAGCCCAAGCCTCTGCAGACTGCCTCGCTGCGCAGAATGACTGGTGGAGCCCAGGTTCAAAGCCATTGGCCTCCAAGTGCTTTAATTCAGCATTATTTTTGCTTCTCTAACCTCTTTTTTCCTTTCACTCTTCTTTTTTTCTTTTTTAACCTAAGCATTCTGAGGTCTCCTTGTTTGGTAGGGAACTGAGCGGCAACTTTTTGTAATTAGATTATACATAATCAAATGAAGGCTTGGATATTTTTAAATGTTATTTAATCTGCTTCTCCTCTTCTTCCTTCATGGATTTTATCACTCTAGCTTAATTTGTTATAAAATTTCAGCTCATTTTTGCCTGGTACCAGGTTTTCCAGTTTAAAATAAAATAGAAAATAACAAGACAACAGATATTTTCAGCAGTCTTTGTTCTTCCTTGTAATAAAAACAAACTCAATTCTGTATTAGACTTAACACTAAGTAGTTATAATATTCCTAGTAGTAATTTTTCTGCTATTACAAATCTGTTAGGTTAGAGAAATGAAAGGGAAATACAAAATAAAAGGTTCTATAATTAAGGAGAAAATAAAGAGGAAAAGTTCTTAAAAAAAAAAAAACCTTAATTGAGGAATATTTCTTACAGAAAGAAGTTGTCAGTGGTTAAGTGCTGACTGGTGAAGTTAGGATATTTTGGTCAATTTAAAATGATGATCCCCGAGGAGAGAGAGATGAAAGCATGGAGTTGGGGAGCACGGACCATGGCATTTCTGTGCTCTGGCAATAAAAATGTAAACATTCTTTCTTGTTCGGTGAAAAACTCTATTTTCTGTACTATGTTTTACAAATGAGATATGAAAACAAGGCAAAGGAAACAATGTTCAAAACTTTTTAACATCTCACACTATTGTAAACTCAAGATATCATATGAAATTTGACTTCATACTTGGGGTCTTTCTCTGTTTTTGGGAGTTTGCTGCTCAGCTTAGCTTCTGACAAGCCTACTTTCTGCTCAGAGGAGAGATCAGCTTTCCAATTTGTCAGGCGATAGGCAGTGGGGTGGTGCACTGACAGATCTGGTTCTGATTTTTAAGTGGTGTTAAAAAGGTCAAGGTTCACATTTTTCCCATTTTATCGTGAGTTCATCACCAGCAAATCTGCCTTTGCCACATTTAGTCAGCACTGCTAAATGAATGAAGACCAGAAATGGGGATCATGGGTTCGCTTTCCTCTCTGGTTATGTACTAGCATCTGCTACAGAAAAAGAAAAGTTCATGTCATCATAGAGTGGCCCTGGCTTCGTAGTTTTGACTGGTAGTCTGATTATTTAAATGTCTAGTTTACATTTCTTATTTATAGTGAAAATAAATAGCTCCCTAATTTTAATGTTTGAAGATAAGAATGGAGCGCTATTTTATTAATCCATCATTTTTCCTTTGTCATGATTCTTTAAGTTTACACTTCTGTTTTGTAAAAATTTGTGATATTGAAGTTATTTTTTTTCTAACACTAAAGTTAACGATAGCTTCCCAAATCTCTGCTTTGAAAAGATGAAGTATCATTTTTTGTAGTAATACTAGTAAATAAGAAGAAAAGTTTATATAAATCTTGATATTTATAATATTTTATCTCCTTGGAATTGTTTGTTGAACTGATGATAAACTAGAAAGTGAATTTATTTTTGCAAAAGATGACAAAACTTCTATAAATAAAACCCACCGCTTTTAGAGAATTTAATTGTATCAGTTGAAAATGGCCACACTTTTTTGCTAGTTTATTGGCTAATTTGTTTGAAATTGATTAATGCTTTTTTTTAAATGACACATTCGAAAATATATATTATCAAACTTTTTTTTTTTAATGTCGAGATAAACGTAAAAACTTTAAAGTTTGGTAATTTGTGATTTGCTAAAATGCAGAGATGTAAAGAAATGTACATGTGTGTGAGATGTTTGGCTTTTATTGGCTTTGTAATAGTGATAAAGATAAAGTGATTTATAGATTATCAAACTACTATCCTGTTTAGACACATACATTAAGATGTTCCTGTGTGATCTCAGACGACCTTGTAAACCTGCCTAAATCTTTAATTTAAAGAAGAATTTCATTTAAAAGATGTAAAAGAAGCTTGTGGGAGGTGTCAGAATTTTAAAATTTCTACTAATATTTTATTCACAAAAAGCTAACCAGGTACTTCTTGTAAACTGAGAGTTATTGAATAAAATTACTAGGAGGCTTCTCACCTTCCCCATTTATATTGGAACACACACACACACACACACACACACACACACTCATGCACACACACACAATATTTTTCTGTGTTTATAAGTGCTATATAAGGAATTAATATGTGGATGCATTACATACTACCTTGGAGTTTTATAGCCAAATGTTTGTGGGTGCTGTTTCCACTCCCACTCTTCTAAAACACAAAGATGTACTTAAATAAGGAAAAATATACCCTCTGAAGTGAAATCCCAAAAACTTTTTTTTACTTGCTAGAATTTGTGCTATGGTGAGTTTTCCTATACATGTAGATGAAACTAATGATTATGGGTGATTTTAACACCTCCTAAGAGCTAATTGGTAGTCATTTCATTAAGACCCCCTTACAGCTACACAGGTAATAAAAATCATTGATGCAATAGATAACAGTCTTTTGAATTTAATGTTTAAAATCAGAGTTACTAAAAAAATTTCTTTCTTTTCTGCAGAATGAAAATGCAAACATTTTACATGTTAAAAAGTAGAATAATGTGGTTAGTTTAGCTTTAAACAGTTATTACTCATAATGAATTATCTGTACCTTCAGTATTTAACTTATCTAATTTTAGAGATGTTTTCTCAATGTTTTGTATAAGTTGTTTTTACAGGTCTTAATTTGGAAGAGATAGTGTTGATTGGAAGACTTACTCGTACAGTGTTATTACATGCATAAAAACTATAGCTCTCCCACCAATAAATTTTATGTTATCCCCATTATTTTATTCTAAAGAAGAATATAGATCACCAGTACAACATAATAAGAAGTATGCAGTTTTATACCCAGAGAACTATATGAATCAAACGTTAGGTGTTTTCAAGGTAATTTGACAGAATTGTCATTCCAGGATATTGCTGAATGCAGCTGGGAAAGGCTCTTTGGCAGAGACTAATCAGTGCAAGCTCTCGCAAGTTGTGGAAATATAGTAATCACAGAATCCTTTTATGAACAGTTCTAACTAATACAAAGAATGTTTTCTTGAGACACAGTTGGTATATTCAGCAGATTCTCTTTGATAGCTTGATACACTGCACTTAGGGTGAATAAAGCAGTGGTGTGTGTTGCTAATAGATTTCAGTGATGTCCCACCACCGAATTCGAAGCTGTGCCAGCAGGATCCTTTGTCTTTTCCTGTTACCTCTCGTTCAAGGTGTTATTTATGTTAAGGAAGAACCATTATTTTAGTTTAAAATATTAAACAAAATATTTTTATTTCTATTTAAACACTGATGGATCACCCACTGCCTCAAAAATAAATAAATGAGCTTCGGCATCAAACACCATTATTTTTATTTGTCTGGTTTACGATGACTGCAAAGTCCCAGTGTGGAATTATCTATTCTTTCATCATCATCAGCTCCCTGCTGTAGTTATTGTCTGTAAATACCAGTTAAGTACTCAAGGATTTAAAGTATAATGAAACTTAGATGGTTGGGAAAGTGGTTGAAGTGAATGTCCTCCCTGAGGCTTTTTTATTATTTAAAAGTTTGGGTAACTCCATTGTTCTCTTATCCTAAATATATTTGATAATACCTGCTATCAGTTTGGATTTTAAGAAACATAATTTTCAGTGCAACAGATAAAATGAATTTTATTTTATGTAGACTTTGCTATCTACACACTTTTTCAGAGGTGAAGTTAGAAAAGGCAAAATGTGTTTATAAAACCCTAGCCCCACCTGTGACTGGGGACTAAAGTGCATTTGTTCCAATTCTCTTACGCAGGCTTCTCCACAAAAGAGGCCATGACACCAGGTCAGGAGGCTGATAGGAAGCCAGATCACTCCAGCCAATTAGCCCATTTCCCTGTGACCTATGGGATATCTCTTCCTTTTTCCTTTTTTTTCCTTTTTTTTTTTTTAGGAGAGAAAGCAGTGATGACCTTTAGCCACTGACATTTCTGCTTCATGCCCTAAAATTAGAGGAATCTGATCAGCCTGGTTAGTGCTAGCAATCCAACTCTGTAGGCTGGAATTCCTACTGGAACAGGCTCTCCTGATTTACCCCAAAAATGTAGTTTCCAAGATGCCTACCCCACTGGCTATGTGATAAAATGAAACCCCACACCATCCCCACATGCACCATACTGGACTGGCCCCTCCTGGTTCTCTAGACCCTGTGATTCTCAGTCCTGTTTGTTCATTATGTAGACCTTTCTTTTGTTTTGGTTAAATATGTTTCATCATCTCTTCCCATTTTATACACATGTCTCCTCCCAGAATGAACACTAACTCCAACACAGGACTGAACCCAGAACCTCAGAGATGTCAGTTGGCTTCCCACTCCTCTACTCACTGAGGGTGCTTTCCCCTTGTGTGCATGTCACCTTCTAGGTGATTCATAAAACTCTCCTCCAGTGATCTGACTCAGAAGCATACATCTTACTTAGTAGTTTAACAGTGCACTAACTGGAAGGCAGAGAAAAGACAAGACAGATTATGTTTCGGTAACTCTGTTCTTGAATGGAGAAGCATGACATTTCATTGCCCTAACGGTGGGTGTGTGAGTGAGAGGGTGCTGCTGACTGGCGCTGTTAGTAAAGCAGGACCAGGGAAGGCACCAGCCCTTCTGGGCACACATCACACACACAGACCTGCCCAGGTTCCTCTCTCCTTCCCATCAGTGTGTGCCTGCCATGTAACTCAGCAAGTTGGAGAACTTCTTAGCTTATTTAATCTTCTGAAAGTACCCTTGGATTTTGCCTTCCCATCAAATTCCTACTACCCAAACCTTGGACCAGCCTTTCTCTTCTTCACCATTGACAATGTGAGAAGACTCTTCTCATCCTTTTTTCTGGAGCACCAGACATATATTGGTGAAAGATATCGGCCATTTAGGCAGGTGTATTGAGGTGTAACTAATATACAGTTAAATTTACTGTTTTTAGTATATAATTCTAGGATTTAAAAACTGCATATAGGCCTGTAACTACCACGATAATCAAGATATAGAACAATCCATCATGCACAAAATTCCCCTGAGCATCTTCAGAGTCAGCTTTCTCCTCTCTCTTCCCAACCCCTGCCTAATCTCTGATGTTTTCTTCCCTACTATACTTCCTTTTCCAGGATATCATATAAATGGAATAATCCTGTAGGTAACTTTTAGTGTCTAGCTTCTTTCACTTAGCATGTGCGTTTGAGATTCATCCATGTTGTGTATATCAGTAGTCCATTTCTTTTTTATTGCTGAGTAATAATCTGTTATATAGATCAACTTATTTTTTAACTTCAAAGCAAAATGGTATAATTTCATTATGATTTTTATTACATTATCACATTTATATGTATTCTTAACATTTTAAGTTACATATAATTAAAGTCTGAGATATGATATTTAGTTTTTAATTCTCATATTCCTTTTTTAAACATTGTTATATAGGGTTTGGTTTTGTTTTTACTGTTATTTTCAGTTTATCTTATTCACTATAGTATGAAGTCTAGAAGGCCAATGGGAAACACAACTGTCTTCAGGATAATATATAGGTCAATCTGTATAATAGTCTTCTACTCCAATCATATTAAAGTAAGATTTTCTAATTTCTTCAAGTTTTTACCTGTGTATTATTTTCTTAAAATAAGGACTGAAGCTGGGTGCAGTGTCTCATGACTGTAATCCCAGTACTTTGGGAGGCGGAGGTGGGAGGATCACTAGGTCAAGAGATCGAGACCATCCTGGCCAACATGGTGAAACCCCATCTCTACTAAAAGTGTAAAAAAATTAGCTGGGTGTGGTGGGGCATGCCTGCAGTTCCAGCTACTCAGGAGGCTGACACAGGAGAATTGTTTGAACCCGGGAGACAGAGGTTGCATGAATTGAAATTGCGTACCACCATACTCCAGCCTGGCAACAGAGCGAGACTCTGTCTCAAAAAATAAATAAATAAATAAATAAGGACTGATTATGTTTGAAGGCATTAAACAACACATTATGATGTTTGTTCTTCAGATACAGTCAAGGGTTCTGATTTGCAGATCAAATGTGACTATTATAAGGGCTGCAGAAATCACCTGTCAGTCCCCTGATTTCACAGTAGGGAATCCCAGCAGATGTGGGAGCCACTCAGCCATTCACTCAGTGGAAGGGCAGACCCCAACCTTCGCTTCTTGTCCAGGCTGTGCTTCCAGAGGCTCCTCAGCACTTCCTCTGAGGCTACCTTACTGGTTTTCTGACAGATCATCCAGAAACAAGGGTTTTAGGATTCTTTCTCCTTGGCTCAAAAAACTGAAAACAAAAAAGGCAAAGATTTGAAGTGTAGCATCATCATGAGGCATAAACTTGTGAAAGTAATTGGATTCATTTCATTGCACGTTTGGTGGCCATTACAGCTGAAATGTTGCAGTCTTATGCCAAATTGAATGAATTTCTTGTATTACTTTTTTTCATTCAACAAACAATAGCCTACCTCCATCTGACCTTCTGCCTAGAAGGTTTTCATTTATATTGTTTTCTGTCATGAAAGATATTTTAGTAAATAGTTTATAGAGGGCCATTGTCCGAGCAGCAGCATTTGCAGACACCGTTTCTGTTGGCCCCGCCGAAGCAGCACCAGGGTTCCACGTTGGAATCCTCTTTTCCAGTGAGGTACCAATGTCTATGGTCAGACTCCTAGGTAGGTACTGTATCTGGATGTCAGCAAGAGCTGCATGACAGTTTGCTTGTCAGTCAGTCACTTCCAGGGAACCAGGGCTGGCCGGAAGCACCATCTCTGTGCAGGTCTGAGTGCAAAGTTCACAAAGCACAGATCTGTAGGGTAGACTGCGTCACCTCAGATCTGAGAATTCCACCAGTGAGCTTCCATGTCATCTTAGTTAAGTGCCTTCCCCCACAAAAAAACTGTGATATGGCCATTTCTCCTTTAGTGTACCCTGTCAACGCTTGTAAATGATCTTAAACCATTAAAATTCATTTTTTAAAGTTGAATAGATTGTAACTTCTTACGTAGACAGTAAGGAAAGAACGAAAATTGTCATTTTTATGGCATTCTCATAAGATCAACAAATGGTGCTCAATATTAATGATCCCAGGAAGGTCTATAGAAACGTTAAAAAGTCTCTTTAAACTTGCCAGCAAGAATGATCCTGGGAGTTAAAAAAGCATTGACTCTCGGTGTCAGAAATAAACATTTGAATTTGCTCTTCTCTCTCCATTGCATTTCTCTCCCTGCTGTTATCCCTATTCAGTAATATATAGTGTGCCCTTCTCAGTGAAAATAACAACCAAAGAAAGTAATTGGAAATAAGTAAAATCTATACCAAATACTAATGTGAAGTAGTAGAAAAAATGAAATGGAAATCTAGTGACAAGCAAAGCATTGTTATTGAAAGGTTTTTGGGAAAAAAAGCCTCTTTCACTTTGCTGGCCCAGTTAGGAAGTTTGGTCCCTGGTACAAAGCCATACAGCTGCACACAATATAAAGTAAGGTTAACAGCATATTTGGTGCGTTTATAACTTCCCTAGGGCATTTTAACATTAAAAATAGTGATTGTTAACCCGGGTCCATCTGAACTTAAATATGAGCTTACTTTGCAAGAAATGAGGGGTAACGTCTAAGCACTTTTCTGGAGGTTTTATTATTCTTTTACGGTTTTACATTATGGCTCCTTTTTTGTCTGTTTTATATGTTTTATTCAGTGTACTGAGATACTTGGAGTTGTAGGCTAATTGGATATAAGACTCTCGACTCTCAACTCTGTAACTTTACTTTGAGGTAGTGTGACACAGATCTTCTTAAGTACATTACATTCCTTACTCTTACTAGGGTGACGTTGATCTTCATAAATGTATGCACTTTCTTATTACATGGTGTGACATTGATGGTCATAAACATAACACAAACATGAGTGTTCCAAGATGATAATTGTAGACAAATACCTTAGTGTATTTTGACTGTAATCACAGAAATGCAATTCCTAACAAGGGTGGCAACTTCTAGACCATCAAAATGGTTGCAGCCATATTTATGACTTTTATTAACAAACAAAACTAAGAAGTCTGCACATGGTCTGGGCCTCAGTCCTGCTAAAAATATACTGAATAACACAAATACACTGTATTATATCTTTAATAATGCATAAAAGATAGAAGCATCCATCCTTTCGAGGCTGAGGGACATTTGCATTCCGCTTGGTAGTTCTCCAGCTCACAAACAGGAATTAAATATATTTAACCATAAGAGGCATACTGATAAAAAAAAGTTTAGGAGCACGTTCCAAGTTACCCCCACTGTGACCCTAAAGTCAACCAACTGTTAGCCAGGGCCAAACAGCAATTTTCAAGGTGTAAGGAAATAAAGATACTAGAGCAGACAGCAACCCTCAGCCCAGATCCAGTGTAAGCACACCACCGAGGTTGCTGTCTCAGTATGTCCCCAGTCTTATTTATAGTTCATGGGCTCTGGAAGCTGTCACCCAATTAATCCTGTGCTTCCTTGTATGATGACTGGAACTGAAGGCAGCATGTTGACTGTCAGGTGATTTTTTTAAAGTTTAAAAACAGCAAGACTTAATTCAATTCACTACAGTGAATGTCATACAAATGTTTTTCTCTGTACCAACTCTAAGACCCAGTTTCTTTTATACTTTATAACTTGGTAGTAGAGTCAGCATTGTCTGAGACAAGAGCCTTGGAGCATCTTGAATGGCAAGTGCTGGTACTCATTCCCTCTGGAAAGCACAGGGAACTCTTGATGGGGTGGAAATCTATTAGTCTGTGGGACAACTGTATACATTCTGGGACTGAGTTTATTTGTTTAGTTTCTTAGATTATGAGTGTACTTAAAAACTTACTAAAGGGTTCCATGCCAAGCACTTCTAAGCTAACTGCTGGGTCTAGGGTGGGGCCCCCTACCTGTTGGAAATAAGAGTCTGTACTCTTGCGTTTTGTCCAGATCTGCTACAGCTTCTTTGCTCTGGGCAGTGTGCCAGGATTGCCCGTCTTGAGCAAAGCTGAGCCATCCCCATCATAAAATGAAAGGAGTTCGCTGCAGCTGCAGACTATTAAAATGCAGATTGGGCAAATATGTTAGCTCTTGGCCACCTGAAGAGCTAATGTGTACATCAGTGGTAGAGTTTGGCACTCCATCTGGTAGCTAATAATGTTTTCAGGGCCAGGAGGAGTCTTCTGATTTATGGAAGTAAAGGGAGAGAGTGTAGGTGCTGAGTTGTAAGTAGGAATAGATACAGGCAACCTCTCACAGGTAGGTTAGAGCAATTTTCTGTGACGTTGCAACAAGCCTGTGTAAATTATAAAGAGGGTTTTCATTTTCAGTAACTTTATTTACCAAAATCAGGAGATGAAAAAGGTTAAGCTATTTTAAAGACACATACGCCACCATTATCACCATCACTACTGACAACTAACAAGTTTGATCCTCACTAGCCATAACTCCAAAATGCAAAACTGACCTCCTGAGGCAGTCTGTGCATTTACATGCACAGAGGTTAAGGATTCCCAAGATACTCTACTGTTCATTGTTCAGTCATTTGAAATTCTGGAGGATGCTGAAACCATTGTGGGGAGATTTTGGATTTCAGAGATTTGATACACAGTCAAACAGTATGTATGAGTATATATTTATAAATACAATTTGTCACCTCCAGAATCTCCCTGTAATGTATCTGCATGTGTCCATCCATATGTGTGTTTGTGTGTACATTGTAGTAGCAGATAGAAAAGAGAAAGTTAGATGGTATGGTGCCTAAAAGTTTTTTGAAAAAGTAAATTTAAATTTCATTTTCAAATGTTTCCATTTCTGAAAGGGTGAATTTCTATACATTTTTTTAAATATTGTTTCTTCGTCTATCTGCTAGTCAGCCTACTGCTCTCAGACTGTATTTTGGTTAACAAAAGTAACATTTTTATCACTTGGTCCAGTTGAATATTTTTCTCAATGGATCCTTCAGTTCTTTTTCCTCTGGTATTTGACTTCATTTACCACTTCCTGGTGACAGCTGTTTATAGAGCAAGTCAGGTACCCTCTCAATACTCGGGGAATAGTACCAGCCATCTCTAAACTCTGCATTCTGGATTTTGCAATTGTATCTATTCTAGAATAGAACTCTCTTCTGTTTAGTGTCAACTGAAAAATCCTTGCCCAGACTCCAGCTTCTTACATTTTTACTTTTTCTTTACTAAGTAGGCCTTCCCTTTAATGGTAGAAATAAGAAAGAAAAGGAATTACAATTTAAGTCACCAGAATTTGCTTGATTAGTGGTTTGAGCAAATGGCTGACAACCTTGAGAAGATGTTGCTGTGACTGGCTAATGGCTCTGGGATCTGAATATCTTAGCTCTATGCATCCCCAGTACTTTTCCCAGAGTAGGTCATACAGGCACATGGAGCCACCCGATGTCTTTCCTGACACCATACAGGGAGATTGTTTGGTTAATCAACTGACATTTAAAGCATGGGAGTTAGCTGCCTCTATTTGTCATAGGTAAACAAAGATCAACAAAGGAAATGCAGAAAGTAGGTAAGACGCCAAGTGCTTACCTACTACAGATGAGGAACTTTTGTGTTTTTTTCAACAACTACACATATTAGC